TACTTCACTATTAAATCAGGATTCTGGGTTCTAGTCCTACATCTGCCCATTTTTCTCTACAGCTTTGAGACAACCAGCTCATTGTACCTGAGCTTGTCTGTAAATTACAGTAATATCTATCACAGCAAACTATCAAAACATTTGGAGAATAGCATGACAGCACACTTAAGCTTTTTCAAAGTCAGAGGGATGCCCATACTTGCAGGTTGAGGAAACCCTCTCCTGTAGTTTTGTATAAGGCCAGAAAGAAGAATAGCAACAGTTATAGGGGAAAAGTTTATGTTAGAAGGTGTTCATTTTAACACCTTAATTCTTGATTAAAACATCTCAGTATAGTCAAACCCAGTGATATTGCCACATTCAAGGATGCATCTCATATTTACAAATCATACATCAAGAATAATTTGATGACAACAACTTCTACCAACTGTTCCTATTTAAGAAGTTCATCATTTCCAGAAGAAACATGTAATTGTCCATCTAGTATAAGCAAGTGCAGATAAAAAGTAGTTTTGCATGATTCTATCATTGCTAGGAAAGAAGTCTCTTTTTTGTCACAGAAAAAATTAAAAGCCAAACTAGAACTTAAAGTGAGCAGACATATTAATTCAAGATTTGTGTTAGGAATCGCGTCTAGAAAGAACAGCTTTAATTATTTTTTTTTTTTTTCCTCCAGAAAAGCCCATATTCCTTCAGGGACTTGAAGGAAATATTTGCCATTAACTATTTATAATGCTGGCTACTTCTTAGGGAAAAGCAAATTGAAACAGACAAAACCATTGTTTACAAAGAAAGAAAGAAAGATTTTTCACTGCACAACAGATGCTACTTTAAATGCATACCCATTAACAAACCTCAGTGTCATTTAGCTTGCTAATTAAAAGAAACTTTAAGCTCAGTACAACTTGGCAACTCGCTAAAAAAAAAATTTAAAAATCCTATGGCTAAACAGAGAAAGTCAAGTTCTAATAGATCATTTTTATAAACTTGTCTGTGTCAGTTAAGACTTGTCAATATGAAGACTGCCAACATTTTAGCAATGAACAGTGAAGTATGTTGAAGGAGCCTCTCCAGCACCAATCCTCACTCAACAAGGAAATTCTGTAGCCGAAGTTTCAAGAAGGCTCCATCTGCCAAAACCACTGTGTGCTTTTAATTAAGAACGTATATAGAAATGTATTAAGAACACAGAAACTTTCAAGGAGTGTTAGGAATACCAGCCTCCTGGTCAAGCCTTCCACCCACCCTCCCCAAATGTATATCCCATAGGAAGTCGTTACTCACTGCATGTACCTGTGCAAAACACGTATCCTACACTGGCTAAAGGACCAAAGTCAAGGAAATGTTTTTAGCATCGGAAAAATACCAATACTTTCAGGCTGATGTCATCAAATACATCTCTCAAGTACTTCAACACAACCTTTATTCTTTTTTAATACTATTTAAATACTAGATGTTAGATGCTTGGTTTATTTTCCTGAATAAAACTGTATATATACCAGTTAGTTGCAGGCGATCATTAGCTTGGCTTCATTCTGGCAAACAGTCCTGGAAAATAAAATTAACTGAGAATCATGAAAGACTTATGTTTCATAAATGTCAAACCAAGTCTTGAAGTAAATAAAAATGAGTTACTTTCTCTCCTGAAATTTTGCTTAAGTGGCTTTGCAACCCTTTAGTATGTAACAAATGGATACCTCTAAATTATGGGTTTTTTTACTAAAACCTTGCAGATTGATCCGCTTTAAAATCTCTCCTTTTACCTGACTTCGTAATTTATTATTGTATTATTCTTTTCTGCAATTTGGAAAGCTACTAGTTCTGCCACTTATTTGCAACACAGTGTCAGTTATTTGCAAAATTAAGGTATTCTGAGACATTTACTTACAAAGACGAAGATCAAAAGTTGTAGTGCCTTTACAGTAAATAAAAAATCCTCTTTCCCAAAGAAAATCATGTATGTGTGTGTGAAAACTAATGATGAATTATTTGTGTGTTAAAAGATAGTATCCTATGATTACTTGCAGGCTGCACTAAACTGTTAAGTGTTCCAAATGGTGGCTTCTCTGATCATTTCAGTTGGAATAAGCTCAAAAGAAACAAGTAATACGTTCCTTCTGACTAGTCATTTAGGGCTACAATTAAGTATATAACTCAGCTTCTAACACCAGTTTTTTCTCCCTTTTTCAGTATAAAGACTAAAAATAAGATCAAATGGGGTGATTTTTGAAGCCAGGAAGTACAAGCATAACATTTCTTATGTGGTTTTTCCCACTGAGCAATAGATATTCATTCACATTAATAGCATTATATACTTCTAGAACTGGATCCCAGTTGGCAAGAGAGGCTCCAACGTTGCAAGATCAAGGTAAAAAAAAAGAACTTCTGAAGTACATCAGTGAAAGATCTCTTAAGGAGTTTCCATCACATGCCTCCACCTTCTGAGAATGTATTTTCCTCTTTCATACTAAGAGGAAAGCAGAAATGGCACAAACTTATTTCCCTTCACCACATTACTTGTAAGTATATATTTATTCATACCTAAAATGTTAACTGTTCACCACTTCAGCTACTCTGTACAATGAAATCTTTGCAGCATAAAAATAACTATTCCAACATGCACTTACACAGAAACTTCTAAAACTCATTGGCTACACCTTACACTAGTAACTAACACAGGCCAGAGATTGTTCTCCAATCTGGAGGCAAACCAGCACTGCTTAATTCGTGACTATACAGCCAAAATGGCTCTCCCTTCTACCCCATCCAGAAAGGGTGGCCACATCCCATCTCTGTTTGGAGAAGTCCTGGCACTTACCACCTTTGAATGATGCTCAGGTATGGCTTAGGAAAATGCTAGGTGGCCTAGCTAAGCCATATGAGTGACCATGCTGACAATTTACTAGCATGAATGATCACATGCCAGACCTCAGCCTAACGGTCATGTTTTCTTTGGTTTGCTACTATGGACACACTCTCCATTAGAAACTCCTTTGCTCCAGCCTCTCCTCAAGACTAACATAGAAGACACCAGGTAGCATGCCTGGAAGGCCACAGAGATCACACTGCCTTAGAACAGGGAGGGAAAGGAAAAATACCACAGAGCTGGTAAGCTGCAAAATGTGATAAAAAGCAGAGTCCACGAGAACTGGAAAACCCTGCACAGAGGTTTACCCACTGTGACATTCCACCATCATCAAACTTTAATAAAACAGTCCTTTATACTACTAAAGCGAGAACACAGATCTTTTTATTAATGATCACATCAAAACTCACGTCAACTGCTCTTCAACTTGAGCAGATAAAAGAACTGGGAAATGTGGACTGTAGTTTTTATCTCTAGAACACTGTATTCGACAGAAATGATATAATAAAGTAAAAAGATATAAATTAAGATTTGAGACGTTTTGCTCCCCACAATTACATACTGTATTCCATAGGGAAAAGAAACCAGACATGGGTCTTCAGACATACAAAAGCATCTGAAAACCCTAGTTTTATTTTCTCTTATTTCCAGCATAGTATCTGATTTTTCCATCTACTGAAAATTAAGTGTCAGTGTTACAAGAAACAAGACACTACTCCCATCTCAGTTTCTCAAATTTAATCTCAGACTGTTTACAATAACCTACTCTTTTCATTTTTGTTAGCAACTACCTAACAACAATCTGGAGGGGGCTGGAGGCGAAACCTTACTTGAGCTACTGCAAAACTATATGGTGATCTACAGAGTATTAAAGCAGCCACTGGCTTTAGTTTGGCTACATTTCAGCAGCCAAAGTCCATACTATTAATTAAGCAGGAAGCAGCAACAGCAGGTTTATGTTTGCTTTTGGGGTGAGCAGAGTTTGCACAGGCTATGTCCTTTGACAGGACCTATGGCTCTTCAGAACACTCTTCACCCAGTGGAAGCATTTACAAGACAAATTTTCTGCTACAAGAGAGCTGTTTTCCAGATCCTAGCACAAACAGACACTTCATGCAATCACAGACTGTGAGATGCTGCTGTGGACAGAAGCGTGGAGTTTACTGAGCATCAGCACTGCACTGTTTTTTCTCTCTGAGGACAAAGAGTACAGAAAATTCTTAGAACAGGCTGGCGACTCAGATTTTGGCCCAGCTATAGGAACCCGCTTTCCTCCATCCTTGGCACTACCAGGTCACGTAAGGTTTGCAAGAAGGAATACTATGAGGCACAGGAAGGCAGACAGCAGGCACAAAACTGGAACACGTAGGATCTTCCAGCTATAAAAATGCAGAAAAATGGCACTCCAGACAAGCATGAGACCAGAATCCAGACAAAGTTCCCCCCCACCACACCAAAACCTAGCTACAAAGGTGCTGGAGCGCAGGCACTCTACCTTTTTCCTCAGGAAGCTCCCACAGGCACCACCACCATCCCTCCCCGCAGAAACAAGCCATCAGCGTGAAACAAATGATTTCACCGCGGGATGCAAACCCGGGCAAACCTGAGCTTGCCCCACTAGCCGGGAACCGCGAAGTCCTCCGTTACCTCACCGCGTCCCAGCCCGACGGGCGAGCCGGTCTCCGCCGGGCACCCCGGGGCGGCTGTCGCCGGCAGCGCCTCGAAGGGACTGTCACAAAATGGGTGACAGGGAGGACGCAGCGCGCTCGGCCAGCGAGGGAAGGGAGGAGGAGGAGGAGGAGGAGGAGGATGCCGCCGCCGGGCGGCCCCTGAGGCGGGAGCGGGGCGGCTGTCACCGCCGCGGCCGGCTGAGAGGGCGAGCGGCGCGGCGGGGGCGACAGCGCAGCCGGCGGCCCCTCGGGAGCACGGGGAGGGGGCGCAGGGGGCGGAGAGGAGGAGAGCGAGCGCGGGGGGGGATCGAGCAGCGCGGGAAGGGGCTCCAGGAGGCGCCGCGGCCGGCGGGAGCGAGGAACCCGGGACAGAGGCCCTACCCGGGCCTGCGCCGCCGCGGGCGACCCCTCGGCGGGCGGGGGTCGGGGCTGGGATGGGGTGGGCTCGGCTCGCCGGCGCTTACCGGGCAGCCGCCTCCTTCCCGCTTCTTCGCGGCGCGGCCCGAGTCTCGGGGGGTGGGCGCCGGGCCGGGCCGGGCCGGGTCGCGAGCGCCGCCGGCGGGAGGGGGGAGGGGGCGCGGAGGGGCGCGCGGGGACGGCAGCGACCCCTCCGCCTGCGCCCCGCCCCTCGCGGGCGGTGCTACCGCACTGCGCAGGCGCAGACCCCCGCGCAGGCCAACCGCGCGCCGAAGGGGAGGTGGGAGGGGGCTGTGGCTGCACATGCGCTGTGACGCCCTCCCCCCGCTTCGCGCGCCTTTCCCGCACCTGAGGGCGCTGAGGGGGGTGAAGCTGGCGACCCCGGTCCGAGGGCTGGGTATCGCTCTGGTGAAAAAAAAAAAAAAAGGTGTTTTTGTTTTTGTTTTTTTTTTTTTCTGGAATAAAACCGTAGATTTTAAGCTTCAGAGAAACCCTGAGGAGGGACCCCGCGGAGTATGCAGGAAAACTTGAGGGTGAAGGTGCGGTGGGGGCGGCCTCGCGTCGTCGTCACGGCGCAGGTAGCGCCGCTGAGGTGGGAGCGGGGGGACTGTGGGTTTCCTGGGCCTGTGCCTCACGGTACGATATTAGATTAAGTATAGCTTTTCATTTGAGTGAGAAGAAAATGTTTAAATGTTGTAGAGAATAGCTTTGTCTTCTTAAGTTACAAGAACTACAAGTGAACACAAGCTTTCAGACTTCTAGTTCTTTTTAAAAGACTGCACCAAGCTAAGTTTGTAGCTCATCGTTGTTATGTGGGACGTATGACTGTTGTCATGAATAGCAAGCAACTGCAGTTAATAAACCCAAATTACAGTGTTGGTGCTTTAGTGGGAGGTACAGCAGTCTGTATTTACAGGCATTGGCTGGAAAGTGCTATGAACACAGTAACTAAGAAAATGTGCTGATTTGACATATCCATGTGAAAGTTTCTCCATCAGGTATTCTGTTTAGCTCAGACCATGGGTTAAAGCCTCTCTCCCAACAGCAATTCAGCTTTTTTATCACAAGAAACACTTCAATATAAAATCACGTTACAGCCTTTCCCTTGAGGCACATGCCTTCCTAGAATTTGTAGGGCTGCAGGTCACTGAGGGGAAGTATGATTTACTTGTTATCTTGGATGAAATTTAGTTTTTAATGCAGTAAAGCAAAGTAAATGACATGTATATTTCATCAGAATTCCCTTTAAAACTGAGAGGATATATACTTCCACATGTTACGACATAGTTTAGTTTACATTGTGGGGAAAAAAAATTCCTCCTTATATTACGAAGTGAGTCTTACAAAGTGAGTCATTTTATTTAGATGTCCTTCCTAAACCTAATTTTTCTGCTGGCCTGCCTGTTCTTATGCTGGTGGGTTTCCCCTGGAAGGCTGCTGCACAGACACGGTATATTTGTTTGACATTGAAAGGCTCTCTTAAGTAATATTTCCAATGTTTGTTTTATAAGTCTGGCAAATGTCATTCCACTAGGTTTCCTGATCCATGATGTGTTCAACAGACTTTCTGTGGTTCTACCTTTGAACTGAATTTTAAGAGTTACTTATCAGTAAAAAAAATGGCATTTCAGTGACAATCAGAAGCATTACTTGTGTATTAGGGATGTGAAAAATGTCTGCATTTGGTTTGTACAATATATTTACACAGTAGCTCACAAAGGAGCTCTGCTTTGTGTTTTCTGGCAGGAAACAGGACATGGTTCTTTCAGTTTGATGAATTAATGAACAAGCTGGTAGCTGACAGTGCATGTGACTGGTATCCTAGTTTGGGAACTTAAAAATGTCACTTGAAAAACCTGCATAGTATTGTGGCATTATATCCAGTAATTTGCGCAAGAGGAGTTCAACTGTCTACTGGGAAAACTCTCATTGTGGTTATGTTCTGGATTAGATTGCCCAAGAGGATTACAGAATCTCCATAATTGGAGGCTTCTGACAAAAGAGCAGACAAATGTCTCTCCGGAGTTGGGCAGGCACAGCTGATCCTGTCTTCAGACTGATAGCTGTATCCTGCAGGGCTTCTGGGGAGCAGCTGCCTCGGGGCAGCCTGCTCTGAGCTTCAGGAAGCAGCATGAGGCCTGTCTGGAAAATGAAGAGACACCTGCTCAAATGTAGCAATTTGCACAGAACATCCATGGTTATTATGCTCTCATACACTCTTCATCCTCCTGCTCCAGCCTTAGGTTTCATTCATTCTTCCTCTTTACAGGGAAGTAGTGTACTGTAAGTGTGTAGTGGCTGAATTTGTACAAGCTTGCACTCTGCAATTCATTTCAAGCCAGTGACAGCGTTGCTCGCCCAGGGTCTTCAAGTGGGGGAAAGCAGCTAGGAGAGGCGGCTGAGAGGCGCCAGCCTGGTAGTCACTGAAGAACTTGATGTGGTAGAAGCGTTGCTGTGTGAGCAGAGCTCCTACCTGGGGTAGGATCTGACCATATGAAATTTAACAAGAGCAAGTGCAGGATTTTCCACCTGGGGTGATGTAATCCTGGTTATACATACAGATGGGGGAAGGACAGGCTGGAGAGCAGCCCCGCAAAAAGAGATCTGGGGGTTTGGGTTGACAGCAAGTTGGATGTGAATCAGCAGTGTGTCCTGGCAGCAAAAAGGGCTAAGAGTGTCCCGGGGTGCACCAGGCACAGCACAGCCGGTCGAGGGAGGTGACTGTCCCGCTCGACACTGCCCTGGTGCAGACCCACCATGAGTACTCTGTGCAGTTTTGGGCACCCCAATATAAGGATGCCAGGATACTGGAGTGTGTCAAGAGGAGGGCGACCAAGATGGTGAAGAGTCTTGAGGGCAAGACTTACAAGGAGCATCCGAGGTCACTTGGTTTGTTCATCTTGGAGAAGAGCAGGCAGAGGGTGACCTCATCACAGTCCACAACCTCCTCCAAGAAGGCAGCAGAAGGGGAGGTGCTGTATCTCATCTCTCTGGTGACCAGCGACAGGACACAAGAGGATGGAACGAAGCTGCGCCAAGTCAAGTTCAGATTGGACATTAGAGAAAAGGCTTCTCACTGAGAGGGTGATTGGTCACTAGAACAGGCTCTGCAGGGAAGCGGTCACAGCCGCAAGCCTGTCAGAGTTCAAGGCACTTCCAGGTAACACTTATGGTTTACTTTTAGGCAGTCCTGTGAGGAGCAGGACTTGGACTCGATGACCCTTATGGGTCCCTTCCAACTTGAGATATGTTGTGATTCTGTGACACCTTCCAGGCGCACTCAGGGGCATCCTAATACCATTCATTGTGGTTGCACTACAAAGCTATGCTTTTTCAGTGAGAACCATTTTGCAGAATTCCACATTGAGGCTGTTCGAAAAGTATTTTGTAACTAATTATACAGGTATACCACTGATAGAAAGTAGTAATAATAGTCACTGAGTTTCCTGTTCTTTTCCCCATTCAGGGGTGTGACATTTTTTTCTTGACCTGCATCTTATTTCAGTGTAGTTTTAAACACTGTACAGTCAGCTACATTTTTCTTTACTTTGGATATTGCCATTGAGACATGTTGTCTTTGTGATCCACAGTGAATGAAAATCTGCTAAAGAGCTTTTGAGCAGGTATTATTATAGAGAAGTTTATACTTTATATTAAATTTGGACTTTATTAAAATGTGTACTTTAATTACGTTAATAATTTAAATATTTTATTTAAACAGAACACCAAGAAAACTCAATTTAAATGACTGATTCAGTTTCCTTGATTCCTACAAAACCCACTAATTTCATGCAATGTTTGAAGAACTAGAGGCCAGAGCTGGTTCCTTAGCAAATATGTAACTACAGCTAAAGTGCTCTGCACACCACTATAAAGGTTCCACAGTTTGAGACTGGCTGCATGGTGAAGCAGTATTCCTACAAAAGGACTAATACAGATCCGAAAATGGACCTCCTCCTCTACTTCATGTCAACTATTTCCACACATTATAGGTATTTTAGTTTAATTCAGCAATAACCCTGTATTAACCTCTAGATTTTAAGTGATGGAGCTTTTACCTTGCAAAAAATGAAATAGCTTTTATTCTGAAACACCAGTGTTAAATTCCATACCTCTGGCAAACTCACATGAATACAATTCACATGTTCAGTTTAACGTAGACCCAGGTTTTAATTAAATAAAAGAACCTGACAAACATAGATACAGGAGATTTTATTTAACATTGTGTACAAAGAAAGGCTACAAATGCCTTTTTTTCCCCCCCACATACAGTTTTTGGATCCTTTTTTCATACCGCTTCTCAGAAAATTAAAAAAAAAAATATCCAGAATGACACTTCCCCCCGCCCCACCCCTTCCCCCTTTTTTCCCCTTTCCTTTTTCACTCTCTTTGGGCCTACACTGAGAGATGTTTAACAGTACAGTTTCAACACCTTTCAATATTAAACTATTAGGATTAGGTTTTCTTTTCCAAAAAGAGCACACTATGAGATCCTGAAGGACTAGCAATAGCAGGATAAAAATGTCAAAAATCGACTCCCTAACCTGGTAATGTTAAAACAATGCCAACAATATTAACTCAGTTGAAACCCAAAATTATCCAAACAGTAACAAGTTGTTTGTCTTCTACACCTGATAATTTAGCACTAATTATATAATTTAATTATATTTAAATAGTCTTAACTCCTTTCCTTGGAATTCTTCATGGATTATAAACACTTGTAATACTAGTGATAAGAACAAACTACACAACTTACATAGGCAAGAGAAGGCTTAGTTTTATTTTATTTGCTGGACAGACACAGGAGGGACAACATTTCACAGTGTCCTGTTGTGAGATCGTATTTAAATTCACCATTTCAGTGTGGTGCTTCTCAGTCATCCAGAACAATTCCTTACCCTCTTTCTGCTGCCTTGGTTAGTACTGATATCCCAGCTCTTGAAACGTTCCTGCATAGGTAAAGTTTATCCAGGATTCCAGATACATTACCATTACTGAGTGGCTTCTGCAAGTTTTCATACGTAACTCTGAAGCCCAATACAAGATTTCTCTTAGGCTGTGAGAAGCAGTAAAGAAGGGAGAGGCTGTTGTGAAAACACGTCCTTTTGCTATGGCCGCTTTTACATTAAAAACTATTTCAGATATAGTAGGTGGTAGATACAGATCAGTTTTCATCTAGTTGTGTAATACCCAGAGTTACTGTAGTCCCAATTTCTCCCAAAATGGGACTAAAATGGAGGGAATTTGAGCTACTCTATGTGGATTGGCAAAGAAGAATCTGGATGAGGCTCTTCCCTAACTGCCTTCTGGGCCCGGTGCACACTGCCCCGGGGGAGATGTGGCCACGGAAGGCTCAAGGCCGATCACCTGTGGGCTCTACCCGCTGTGATCCTTAGCTTGGGCCATCGGCAGAAAGCTGCTGCATTCTCCTTCCAGGCAGGAAGCTCGGATGTAACATGGCCTTGTCATACAAATCATTCTGCAGATTAGAGAAATGGTTCACCTGTAGAACATCTTGGGTTCTCAGAACATCTTACCACCAGGGAAAAAGACTGCAACTGTTTCACAAACAAAAGCTCTAGTGGAAAATAAAAAAGTTTTCTCCATTCTAATGAATCATTTTGACAAGAGGATCTGAACATTACTGGGCTTAAGACAAAGCAGTAGAGCAAACACTTCTGCTAGGCTTGGGGACTCTGCAATCATAGTAATTCCCAAATAGGTTTGAACAGGTGTAAATAACATCATCTTACTTAACGCACAAAACAGGCCTACGTGAGCCTAGAGCTTTAGTAGTACCTGGTCCATTCTGCACCAGAAGATGGGAAAGATTTTCGATATCTCCAGGGATAGCTGTGCTACAAACTGAACCTCCCCGTGGGGTGGTTTCTACCGTGCAGAATGATGAAGTGGTTTCTGTTGGAAAAGGAGGGGTGTCTCTTACTGCAAGGTGAAACATGACAGTAGGAAATAAATGACAGGGAAAATAGTCACATGGTTCACCTGCATGTTTTTTACAAGTCTCCAGCAATTCCACTATAAGATGGTAACAGAGAATCAACAGTGGAGGCAGATTAGGTCATTTAATGATTTTCTAATTCTTGGCAATAGCATTTATGTATTTGCTTGACCTTGAAGGCCTAAATCTAATGAAGTGGTCATGGGAGGAGGAGAATCAAGATAACATGTGCACTCAGGCTTGCTTTGGTCCTACTGTTTCAACAATTTAATCGTTATAGCACATTGTAGCATTTTATCCTTGCAGCCCAGAAACAGACTTTTAATTTAAACAGTAGTTTAATTTTCTGGTTTGATTAGCTTTGTCCTTCCTTTGTAGTGGTGTTTCACCTACGGTAATATATGGACTCTATTGCTCCTCCCTATCTATTGCCACAGGGATGGAAAAAAGGTAGAGAGCAAGTAATAAGCTTCGCTTTCTTAGCACTGAACTGTAAATTTTCAGTGGCAAGAAAGGGGTTGCAGCGCATCAGAACTGGGAGGTGACAGGAGCTAAATTCCTGGTGTTCCTGTATCAGTGTTTATTTACTGGCAAGACAATCTTTGCTCACAGTTATCTAGGGCATAAGCCTTCTGTCACAACAAATGAGAACTTCCACACAATGTGATCTGAGCAATGCCTAATTATGCTTCTCTTTTCCATTTGTATTACCTTTATTCCCTAAAACCTTGTTAAGGAGCAATCATTAACTGTAAGTGCTTCCTTTAGAGCTTCTGTTGATTTTAAGGGAAATCCATGTATTGTATTCTGTTCAGTGAGACTATGAACACTGATTTCATTCTAGTTCAGAATGGAGAATTGCTAATACTAGTCTAAGACTCTAGTATCTCCGTTGCATGTGCCCTAACTTAAAGGAAGTGAATGGTATCAGATTTATTTTTCCCATAACAGTACTATGACAACGTTAGCAAAGTTTACAAAGAAGAACATACCTGGACTACAAATGTAAGAGGGCATAAATAAGCAACTGTCTACACCAATAATTTGATTAATTTGATCATATCTACATAGGAATTGCCCTTTCAGACTTCTCTTCTTTGAGGAACAGATGCCAATCCCTTAAATCTAGCGTGAATGTATTGGTCTTCTGTTAGGGGTTTTTCTTAAAACATTTCCCATTTCTTACTAAAATTTTTGTACTAAGAATACCACATCTGATAATGTTATCCCAGTAGATGACCAAGCACTGAAACAAAAGGATTAACCAGTGAGGAATCAGAGAGGGTTGGTTTTTTGCCATCAGATTTTAAAGATTTTTAAAAGCCATGTTGGTCAATTTACATTTTATACATACTTGAAAGAACGGCACATTAAGAGAAATTAACACATTGTGATGCCTTCCAGTGTTACAAGGGTGACAGACAAATTTGGAGATCCATGTATGCTTTAAAGAACAGTACATTTGTTTAAATAAACTCATAGAAAACTAGCATAAACAACTGTAAAACAGATTTTAAAACAGGTAAAATGAATAAACTGTAAAAATACACTGCCTCTCCCATAAACACTCTGTGGTTCCACCACCTTGTGGCCAGCAAAAGAAGTTGCAGTTTTGCTTCATGGGGTGCGTGCTGGTCGCCTTGTCCTAGCAACGGAAGGTCAGAATCAAGGCAGGCAGTGGGCATCAGCAAATACAGTCACCACACTGCTGTGTTTTGCCCTTAGCTGATACACTGAAAAATAGCAGCATTAAAATACAGCCTGAAATAGCTTAGCTACTACCTCAACTTGTTAAAATTGTGCAAGAATACAGAACACCAGCAGCATTTTAAAGGATGTGTTTCAATTTGGTTTCAGACACTCCCCTCCCATACAAAGCACACACAAACACAAAGCTGAAACTGATCTAGTAACTGTTATTTCTTGACCATCTTTGAAAATTTCTCCCATAGTTTGCTTTACTTAACTTTTTAAAATTTTACTTAAAAATCTCTTCAGTGTTAAAAAAAAAAAATCTATGAGAATTTTAGAATTGTTTCTAAATGCTAGGAAACTGATGCTTATTCCTCTCCTTAAACTGGAGATACACAGACTATCATAAACAGATTAATTGCTTTAGTTGAAAATTTTAACATTTCAGATTCCAGTTACTGAAAGCTACATTTTTAGAAAGGTCTCTCCGATACACGCAAAACTGAAAGAGCATAAACTCCCAGTGCACATGTAAGGGGAAATTTTTTGCTAATTTGCTCTTATGTTGTTTATATTTTATCCTTTTAATATAGAAAATGGAAGAGTTAGGTTTTCTGACACAACTCGCACGGGAATATGTAAAACTCATGCAGCCTTCTCTAAAGCCAAGTTTTGCAATTCCCTTTTTGTTTAAGTATGATAAGGCTAATAAAAAAAAATAACAAAGTTAAAAAAACAAAAAACAAAACAAAACCAACCAACTGACATCCCTGGGAAAAGGACATAAAAGCCTTCTGGAAATACTTAAGTTCTGAAAACATAAGACTATTTGAAAAAACTTAATTGCAAAATTAAATGAAATTCAAGAAATCAATTCTCATACTTCAAATGAGTCCATGATTTCATCATCAGCATATCTTTTCCAGCCCAAAATTACCAGCTTTGGGGAAAACATATTCATACTTAACAGAAATAATTAACGGGTTAAGTTAAATTAACTTTTTTTTTTTTTCCCTGATCCACATGCCTGCATGTTAGATAATGTTACATTAGAACTGAGCATTGTAATGATAGACTAAAAGCAACCACCTGTAACAGTAACCAAAGCAAAAGCAATTTTCTCATGGTTACATACTATAGATCAGTAATTTAATATTAAAATTAACTTCCTATATAAATAAAAATAAAAAAGTTGGGCAAAAGTAAATTGGCACAGTCATTATGGTATTGCTTTCCAGTTTCAACACTGCAAAGAGCAGCCACAGATTCCAAATGCCAAAAGGAAAAGGCTGTTGCCCAACCACCTGGTGTAGTTTAGTTGGGTGTTTTTTCCTTTTCAATCAGCAGCGCTGCTGCCTCAGGTGCAGCGAACAGCAGCTTGCAGCGGGTCGCTGTGCAGCTTGCAGTAAAAGGATTGCTATAGAACCGCTGTGTAACAGTGAGAACAAATACATACAAACAAAACCAGAGTGTGGTTTACTGGTCTGCATGACTTTTAAGTCAATGTTTTTCAGGATTGTGACTAATTTTTACCTTCAAAAAGGCAAAGAATAAAAATAAAAAATAATAAAAATCTTAAGCCTTCAAGTTTCCTTGCCTTCATTCCCTCCCTCCCCCCAGAAAGCACCTCCTACTATAAACACTTTTTCTGTTTCATGGGTTCAGAAGTTGGAATGTAGTGGAAATACATACAAGAGAGAAGGAATTTCTAGTTGTACATTACATTACAAAGAGGTTTGCTCCCAGACCTAAGGAGGGAGGGATACTAAGCAATATTAAATTCCTATAAGAATCCTTACAAAGCATGCAAAATATTGATATACTCACAAAATTGAAATTTATATTTCTTCCTTTTTGAATTTGCAACTTCACAGTACAATAATTTCTATTATGCAGCAGTCAGAATTACAGTGACTACAAAATAATTTCCCTTTAATTTTTTTTCTTTCCATTTGTTTGAAAGACTCCTTTGGCTTTTTTGGGTTTTTTTAATTGAGAGGTTGCAGATCACCCATATAGAAAAATGTGAAATTCAGCATAGCAGGGGTTTCCTTGTCATATTTCCCCTCAAATAATGTTGACAATTTAACTCTACCAATCTTTCAAAATCTGTCCCTCCCTCCCCTTCTCATGCAGATTCCTTCCCTTGTCTTCAAGCTGTACTTTTCTTCTCACCAGGGTGACAATGGATGGATGCCACTAAATGGACGCTGCATAACTGGGTAGAAGTGAAGGGGGCTGGAATAGTTTATGGAAATGGAATTGCTCCCACCCCCCAAGTTGTTTGGCACAACTGCTCCAGAGCCACAATCCTGTGCTCTGGATACCAGCAATTAGATTATGCTTTCATTTCCCAAGAGAAATCCTGCTGCCCTTCGCGCCTGTGTAACCCCTGGGGCTTTGACTGAGGCAGGGAAACACAAAGGTGGTACTTGGCTAGACCTTTTCTACTGCTCTATGTGGTTCCATAGAAATTTCTTTACTGCTCTTATTTAAAACAGGGTTGGAAGTTCTGGAGAATACACAATGCATGCTACTTTCTAGATTGTCCATAAAGTACATTGTGACACATTTTATCCAAATATTTGTGTCTATCAGAAAAAGACACTTGTAGAAGCAATGTACAAAGTCTCCAAAAATTCAAGTATCAAAAAAACCCATGTTTTGATAAAAGTCTGGAGTAAGCAGCCAGCCAAGCTGATAGCCATTGATTTTTTTTTTTTTTTTGTCCACAAATGCTTCAATTATTTTTGCAGTGATAACATCTTTCCTTCGGTGTGTTGGGAATTAACAGTCTTCCCAATTAATTTGCATTAAATTTGGTGGTGTTTAAGGAATTTAGCAATCCTGCCTGGATAATATTGACCTTGCTTTTATATGCAAACAACAGAATCACAAACAAAATCACTGACTATAATCCTCCCTGCCTCTCTTCAGTTTGATGTATTTATTTATAGTGTAACATCACTGGGTCTGGCTCCCTTAACTCCCTAAAACCCATCAGAAGTGCAGCATAGGCAAGAGCAGGGCATCTCCTTCTCGAGAGCTATATAAACATTTGCAAGGGAACAAGTGGGTGAGGAAAAAAAAAAAAACAAACAAAAAAAAAAAAAAACAACCCCCCCAAACAAACCCACAGTTCTAGTTGTACGCAACATGTTTCATTTCTTCAGAACCCTGTTCAAATCAAGACTTGAATTTCTGAGGAGGGAATCTTAGATCCCAGACCCTTCCCTTCTCCTCTTGCAAAGCAATGCTAGTTTTGTGGCCTAGAACAGTACTTTAAAAACAGCAGTTATTAAAGACACAGTTGTGATATATCTTCTAACTCCCCCTCACCCAAAAAGGGGTATCCTATCAAGTGGTCCAGTAGAAATCTTGGAAGTTCCTTTATGATAAATTAAATCCATAAAATGAGGAATACCTTCTGTCCCATTCCCAACAAGAATAATAGCCACACTCGGTGGTGCATTCATTCAAGTGTCTATTGCTCCTTCTAGTGGAGATTCCGTACAGCTCCATCTCCAGTTCAGTTCTGGTCCTGCCAATCAAGAGCAGAGATTTTTCTCCCCCGCTTGTCTCTGGTTAACAAACAGCAGAAGCACTGAGGGCCGTAATTCCTCAGGAGAGGCAGAGGCCAGCAATGTCTGAAGAAACACCAGTTATCTTTTTCTCAGGTGTGGCAGATTTATGCCAAGAGCAGTTTTTTGTGTCCTGTTGGTATCCCAGGCACCTACACCTCTGTGGAAAAGAGAATGCTTTGCCTCTTGCTGTCTGGGGTAGGGATAGTCTCTAGCTGCAGGAAGTACAGAAGAACTTGAACCTGGAAAGAGAAAGAAATAGGTAATAAAGGGCTGGAAAAATCTGATGTACAGTTTGCTATTACTCAATCAAAACCATACAAAACAGCCTGACCAGCTAACACAGCCCCTATGTTCGCATTCTCTGCATCGCCTTCAAAAGGCAGCAGTGGTCAAAGAAATCTGAATTTAGCGAAGAATTTTTGTCATGCACCAGTGAAGGCAGTTTAAGTGTTGAGGAGCATCACGGAAAAACACTGATGGTCCTTTTATCCCAGGGTAGCAATATGGCACCTCAAGACAGCTCTCAAAAAATCTTACTGTGCACATACACAAAACATACAGGATGTGTGCATAGTGACATTTTTTCATTAAAAGCTGCGTCAGTACAGATGCAAACTGAACTGCCTGAAGAAACAGTTCTACAGTCTGAAATGTCAGTAAAAAGGTGAAAGTTGTTGAAAAACCTGTCAGGAAAACAGAAGGATGGCGGAGCCAGGCCCTGGCAGAGGCCAGCTGCTGCCCAGATACCGCCTTCACAAGAGTCAACAGCACATTCAGGATTTTACCTGGGACATGACTTCTAGTGACCAGCTATCAGTCATTGTGATAGGCTGGGTTGGGTTAGCAGGGATTTTACTGTCCTTCTCTGAAGGTCTGAGCAGTGTTGGTCCAAAGACAGTTGCAAGATTATGCAGGGACATCTTGTTAACGCTTTCCCTCTCAGCAACCCTGGCAGAAGAGGCAATGAACAAGGCAGATCTTTATAAATATCTGAGTTCGGAAGTGCCCGTGAGTAAGAAACCATATTTATTCCTTTTGTAAAAAGTTTTAGATACATTCAGTCAACCACTCTCCATATGTGCCTAAATGACCGTTATATATAAGCAAACACCTTGATCCAGCACAACCACAGACTCCAGGCACTCTACAGACACGGCTTAAACTTGGGAAGGGGACTGCTGCTTACTGTCTGGACAGACAGGAGTGGGACACTTACATGTACAATCCACTCTACAGAGAAAGGAATGTTTTTCATCCCAGTTTATAAATGAGAAGCTGAGGCACAAAAGTTAAAAAATTTACCCAAGGGCAAAAAACTCTACAGTAGAAACAAAAGTAAAACCCAGATTTCCCGGATTTTAATCCAGAACCTCAGTCACAAGATTATTTTTTACCTCTCCAGTGACAGTCCCTGGTATGTACAAAACACATATGTAAGTTTACACAATGTGCATGTACTAAGCAAGCTTACTGCATTAGTATCAAACATAGAAATACTCTTTTGCAGTTACAACCATATTACAAAATCATATACAAATCAGAAAGACTAGTCTAAGCAAGGAATTGACAACTCCGGTTAGCAAAAGTGCAAAGCTGGAATTTTAAAAGATATGTTGGATTACAGACACATTTTGAGACTAGGTTTACAAGTCCTTAAACACAGCCAAAGCTTCACAATTTATACTAAAACATTTCCCCAGTTTTGTATGCAGATGCAAGTGAAGTTTTGCAGTGATGTTGCAGCAGGAATTTGCATTTCCACCAGATAAGCCCCGAGACTTTGTTAGCCCTTTCCTCCAGTTCTAATCCTTTCAGTATCAGTGAGAACAGAATTCAGGATTTAGTGCCTCACTAAGTGAGTACGAGACAACAGTTATCAGATGAGCATTCACAGCAAGTCAGCAAATGCTTCTTCATTTGTGTGATTCAGCACAAATTCAAGGACAAGGCTCCTCTTCTCAAAATAGCAATACTTTACACCTTAAACAGGTGTCTAAAAGATCCACATATTACCTTTTTAAATGGTCCAAAAGGAAAAGGAATGTCACAAGGTTGGGTTCTGGAAGCGATAACAATAGATTCAACATACAGCTTTCCTTTGCAACAGGATCTGACAGTGCTGCAAGACAGAAAATAACAAAACATCACTATAGGCAGCGAACGAGACTCTGACGGACTGCCTGACTCCCCAAACCAACAAATACGGATGGTCCCGAATGGACTGGAATTCCACCATCGGTTGGAAGGTCAGAGTTGCACATCAGTACCCCACAGGATCTCTTTCCCGACTTTCACAGGTGTGTAGAGAATCCTTTTATCTCAAGCAGTTCAAGTGCTTCCAGACTTTCAACTGTTATGATGGTTTTCCCCTGCACCAAGACAAGACAAGGTATACCCCCCAACCCCCCCCACGAGGGCTCCCTGGAAGACTGAATGCGCTCAACAACGTGCACAGCCTCAACAAACAGGCTGTCATTCCATTCTTAACCTACCCTTCAGAAACCTGGACGTTTTCAACTTACACAAAAGCATGGCAATTGCCCAGATTCAGGCTCATGGGAAAATGTCCTCATTCCAACACTCATTTTGGAGCTCCATTTCACTGCCCTAACAGCTTGGTCCAGGCTTCTGTCCAACACTATAAATACGGGGTTCGTACTGCTCTAGGAGCAGCCTCCTGCAGGAGTTTCAGATGTCAAGGGTTATTTCTGCTACTACTTACCAATGCCCTCAGCAAAGTTGGGGTACAGTTCGTCTGTGAAGAGGGGTTCAGGCAGTTCCCGGAAGTACAGTTTCAAGGTGCCAGCAATGGCATTAACATCCATCTCGCTCATCATCACTGACACGTCTTTGTTATCTGAAAGAGGGAAGAGGGGAAGCAGGGTAAAGCAGCTGCTGGCCTTGCAACTCATTCTTTTTCTTGCCTTGGCTCTTTGTTTATCCTTTGTCTTTGCCCAAATAGCTGAGAGCTTTTCTGTTTATGTTTCTCCAGATGAAAAGAGCTACCTTCAGACAACTGAGAAGTGCTGCACAAATGACTGCAAACAGTTTATCGCTTTAAATCAAGCTGAGGGAACCTTCCGCTACTCAGGGTTAGTTACACTGTGCCAGTGACCTCGGCTTGTTCTGGAACTGTATTTATATGCATTTCAACTTTTGTTAGTGACAACAGTTGTTATTCCAGTTCCCTGCCTCTAACAGCTTAGAATAAGAGACTCTGAGGCTAACTCCCCACTGAGTGTAGCTAAAGTACACACATAACTCAGAGCTCACATTTCAGTTTTGTTACTATTAAGAACAACAAAACCACCCCCTTTCCCTAAAACAGACTGACTAACCAGCAGAGCCAGCACGGGTTTCGTGAAGCTTTGGGTAAAACAGCATTTCATGTAAATGAAAAAAGTTGTTTTTCAAAATGTGAAACACCCTTCCTTGCACTAGTGAAGATTCATGAATGAATGTTTTTGATTGCTTCGGAGTATTGAAAAGAAAATACAAGAAGGAAGAACTTTGAAAAAATAAGCGAAGAAAAAGTGCAGGGAAGGTGAATTTGGGCACCTGGCATAGGCCTCATGACTGCTTGCATGGAAAGGGAGCTCGAGTGTGGCTTGAGAGGTCCTTGGACCATCATGTGGAAGCTGGAAGTAGGGCAGAATTTCACTTTTTGTATCTCAGCAGTCTGGAGGCATTTCATCTGCCTGATCTTGGATGCCTTTTCAGACATACATGCCATTCGTTTAAATGCAGCACCAGTAAGGAGCCCTTTTCTGCTCAAGATCAAAGAAAGCTTTACAAAGGTTGGTCAAAATTACCTAACTTTACTATCTACACGCATCAAGCTAGGCAGAATTAAGAAGAGAACTCAAGAGCCCTGACCACCCAACTCCAATTTCGTAAATACCTTTCCCTAATACACCTTAGAACATTTTTTTTTTTTTTTGCTAGTTTCCCTTCACAAAACATTCTTAATTTCAAGGACTCCTATTAATTTGGAGACCTCACAACAGTGAGGAAATTACAACTTCCAGTTGCTGCTGCTTCCCCTGAGGAAGGTGTCTGCCATCTACAAGATTTGGCAAGGCAGGCAAACCCACCATTTCCCGTCTGCTGGGAACAAATAACAAATGCATTATTAGGTATAAGAATGCATTCTGTTGTATGTCTCGGGTTATATCTGTAGCTGAAGAATATTAATAAAACATGCTGTCAGGGTTAAATTGATTGTCCATGTGTGAGAATCTCTACCTCTTAATGCTTCTTGAGGAACATAAGTTTAAAAATAGCACAGCCACCTGACAGGGAGCTCATGCAGGTTCTCACAGTGCAAAGGAAAACATCAGACACAAATACTTACTGACATCAAAGGCAGCTTTCAAAGCCTGGATATCAGTTGCAACCCCAGAGACACGGTAGATGCCCACCTCCTCCATTCCACGCCGCTCTATCTCTTCCACACACTGGCGCACTATGTAAGGCACCTTCGATCTCTCTCTCCTTGGGAAAGCCAGACAGAAGAGTTCAGCACAGCCCACACTCTCATTGCTTCTCACCCCAGCCAGCTAGGCTGGCTAAAATCACCCCATTTTGCTGTGCAAAACTCTTTGAGAAAATGGGGTGGGAGAAAGTCCGAGCAGACAATCAAGACTGAGCTGAAAAACTCCTTTTCAAACTGGAGAGAGTTTTCTGACTGTCTCAGCCTGGCTTTAGCTGTTTTGCAGTTGCCCCAAGCACTTGAGCTTCTGGCTGGGTCCCAGCGCTCCTAGATTCTGAAACTCTTCCCAGGTAATCAGAGGATTCCCAAACAGACCTTGGATGCATAGCAACACTGTTGCTTTCCAATTAATGCAATTCCACAGGGAGGAAATACCACACACTTCCCAAACTATCTAACAGAACAAACAGGTTTCTTCTGGCAAACGATACATGACAAAAGATCAGGGGTTAAAATAATACAGCAGGATCCAACGAACTTGAACATTTCCGATTATGGAAAGGAAACATCACTGTTCAGTGGCTCTGGAAATTTGTGGCCAAGTCAGTTACCTACAGAGAAAAGGAACAAGGGCTATTTCCAGAACTCAGAGAAGTGATGTGCTATGAAGTAAACACCCTGTGTTTCAAAGCCTGTGTGCACACCGGTTTTTGTTCCCAGGCAAAAAAAAATGAAGCTCGGAGATTTTACAGCATCTCCCTCCTGCATCCACAGCCATCTACACTACAACCCGAGTGGAGCAGACTGGACTGACAAATCCTGTGGCAGGGTAAAGGCAGGTACAACCCACGAGGCAGTTAGCTTTCTAAAAAACAATAGGAAGAAATGCGCCCCATCATCTCACTTGGTGACAATAGCGATCTTGACCCCAAAAACCCCAGTCTGCTTCCGGGACGGCATCCTTTTCAGGCTAAACTCCCGACTGGTAAACTTCACCGACAGCTTCACTTCAACCTGAACAAAAGGGAACAGCTGTTACTTTTCAAACATTTTCTTTTCTTTTGTTTCTATGCTGCAATGAAGAGCAAAGAAATAAAGCATATAAGAAGTACAGCTGCAGTGCTAACTCCTGTTTTCTGTACTTACTCCATTCATCGAGATGACTGTGCGTTGCCAATCTTTGTCCTGCAATGCTTGTGGGTCCAGCTGAAAAACATGGAAGTTACTCATAAGCCAGAAACAGAGAAACCAGCTAGCCTGAAAGGGTTCTGTATGAGTACAGCACTACCACTTTCAGCATATTATTTCTTTTCCATAGGAAAACTCACATTCCAAGGTTTCCCGGGTTTCAGGTAATGGGACACTCAGACATTGTGCGGTTCTCTAAGCAGGGCTGGTGAGGACTCACACACATGGAAAAAACAGCAATGTGTGTGCAGTGTCTGCTCAACAACATAGGCAACCTCAGCAAGCAAAATCAACGTTTGAAAGCGAATAACCTCCACTTCCATAGGAGGGAGACTGCATTCACTGCTGTAGCACAACAGGCACATTAGCAGACAGCCAAATTTGTCCCATTCCACAGGGGTAAGAGTCAGAAAAGGGGAGGAGAGATTTCCAAAATAATTCTGATTTGAAATAGAGGAAACTGTCTCCCTCTGCAGTTTTCTACAGACAGGTGAGGTTGGACAAGTGTGAAATTACTGCACTGAAATAAAAAGCCAGGCTGGAGAACTTCATAGCTCTTGTCTTTGAAGCTAACAGCTTCCAAGAAGGACTACATTGCACTGAATTCAAAAGTCACAATGACCCCAACAGTGAGATCAAGGAAGAGAAATAAGAAGTGATCCATATCAGAGACAAGTAGCTTTAAACAAGCCAAACCTCTCTCATGATCTGACAGAGGAGAAATGGAGAAAATTGGCCCAGAAATCATGGAAAGTTGTCCTACTTCAACCTGCCTATTCCTTTTCATTTCAATGAGCACAGAGGTAGGAAGAACACCTGGCCCTGCTACTGCAAGAATTCATTAAGCAGAAACAAGTTCTGAAGCAGAGCCCTGATCTCCCATTTTCAGCTTTGCTTGATCTCTTTTGAGTGGACAGTTGTGAGGCTGGGGAGCAGCTGACTCAAGTACTCAAACATCACCCAGCAATTCCAGTACTGCCTGGGAGAGTCCAAACACATCTGAACGGCTGAAGAGGGGCACTCAGCTCAAGCCAGACTGGCAAAAGAGAGAAAAGAGCTGTCTGCACTGGGACTTGTATCAGCAGTCAGAACCAGCCAAAGCAAGCAGACTTCCGTGCCTCCTGAGCTGGCTTTGTAATGCTTGGCTCTTGAACGCTGTTTTGAGTTTACTGTCGTCAGCAAACAAAAAGATACTCGGCAACTAGAGGTATTTCTGCAGCGCAGCCCCTCCTCCTCGCAGAGCTCCACGCAAAAGCAGAGTTCTCTGACATGCAGAGGTAATGTTGAGACAGTGGCAGCTGTAGTACATTCTGGGAGATGTCAAATGCAATCATGCTCACGCTTTCTTTCAAATCATCACCAAACTAGCCCAAAGCTGCTGACAGCTACCAAGACAAGTCCCCTCACGCTCTTCCCCCTCCCCACAAAAGACAACCAGCAGAAAGAAAAATTTCTCCCTGTTTGCTCACACAGCAGAGACCACAAGAAGCAACAGACAAGCGAGTGAGGCCAACCTTATCCCTGCGCACTTTGTTACGGACGTGAGCCCACAGTGGGATGCTGCCAGCACACACAAGCTTTCCTGTCGAATTGGATCGGTTCCTGTAGGTGCAACTCTGGCAGAAATTCCGGAAGACCCCTTGCAAGGAATAGTCAGTAACCAGTAGCTCCCACATTTTGGGACTGCACAAAGGTCCAGGAAGCCAATGGGCAGCAGTGCTTAGCTTCAGTGCTTCAGCAAACCCAAGTAACAGACTGCTTGCCAAGAGGCTTTGCTTATAACTCTGGCAGAACAGATCCGCCCCCGCCTCCGTGGCTGGCCAAGGTCCCTACCAGTTGGCCAGAGTCTAGACTGTTCTTCCCTGAATTTCCGTGCTGGAAGTTTGGTTTCTTTCAACAACTGCATTCTTTCCCAGAATCAAGAGGAAACCATTTCTGAAGTGTCTGGTTTCCTATGAAGAGCAACCATGCTCCGTATTCCTAAAAGCTTGATCTCCAGCTGCCTAAACACTCATCTCGTTAAGCTGCCAAAATGGCCCTGCTGATAGACACAGCCACAGCCGATCCTCTAGGTCGGAAGCAGTTTTCCATATGCTTTTAGAATGGAGTCACTGAGAGTATATTATTTATAGCAGGGAGAGACTGCTTAAGACTGAAGGGGAAAGAGGGTTTTGAATATTTGCCAAAAAAGTTAAAAGGAAGACTCCAGCAAGGTCCAGTTACAGTTTATTTAAGCTAACAGGTATTACTGATTATGTCGGTGATCACCAGGGAACTCCTACCACTGTACAAAATGCAGGCAAGTAAATAGCTGATAAAATGTACAAGTCAAAGTCCTACTCTGTCTCAAGAGTGAATATCATATGGTTGCAAAGGACTCGCGAAAGCAGTGTGCTGGAGCTGACTGCTCACAGAGACTCTTCCTTGCTGAGTAACTACTGGAGCTGTGCAAGGACTGCGGGTATACCTGCTGCCACCTCTTGCTCCCTTATCTCTGAACTCTTGCAGGGCTGGCAGGACCCCCACACTCTGCCCAGCTGTTTGACTCCTGCTGGAGAACAGCCTCTATGGAATGGAGACAGCTAGGGAGGACAAGCACCAGGGAATGGGTCAAGCTGACCTGAGCCAACCCTGCATAAATCACTGGCAATAACAACAGCAATTAAAAAAAAAAAATCGCCCCAAGTTGCTTTTTAAATAACAAAGCCAAATGATGGAAGCTAATAAAAGAGCCAAGTTTGAATAAGCCCTCAGCAACCCTGAGTGAGACAGGAAGATCAGGTCTAACAGTCTGATAAAGTCACAGTAAGAAATAACAAGAGTCAACAGGAAGCTAAGAACGTCTTTTAGACTTTGAGCAAGCTTTCAGTCCTGGACCCTACAGATGACTGACCTTCTAAGGCCAGCAAGAGCCCCAGCAGGAAGGGGCAGCTGGAACAGACAGGTTACAAAGCAGACTGAAGACAAAGAGAGTCAGTGAGTGCGATGCTCCAGCATAGAGAGGGCCTGTGACAAATGGGGTCATGCTGTCTTCTGGCCTGATTTGGAGATCAGTGACCTGGAAGAAGGAACACTGAGCAGAAGAATGCAACCTACAGCCAGCATGCCAAGAGGAGGCCGCTCTGAGGCAGCGAGCACATAGCGCTCGCTTTGCCAGCTCAAGCAGGGGCAGGCACTGTGAAATGGCTGCCTCTGCATTCATTCAACAGTGAAATTTACTGCACCTCTAAACATTTCCTTCAAACGGTTGGTTTGAAGGAGTGGCAAAAGGACGCGTCCCATTTCCACTGAAACTGTGAAAAATTGTGTTGTTTGCATGACTTATGCAAATAGGAAAGACCTGCTGAAACCCTCAAAGACCGTATCTCACAGGCTTGTTTGCACAGTCCCCACCAAAAGCACATGCTGCACAGGAAAAATACAACCAGTTTGTCTTTACTCCCCCAGCACCACCAGTCCCCTTGTGGCCTGTTCTTTGGCGTTTGCAGTGGCAAGCTACAGCCTCAAATTCACTAATGAATCAAGCAAATGTCTCTCTATCCTGCACGAAACACAGTAAAACAAAGCAGCTCAGCACCACAGGGATTTCTGAGTGCAAGTCTCTGGCCCTTGTAGCAGCTTAGCACTGAATTAAGACAATTAGTGTAGAGCAGTCAGTAGAGGCTGAGTCTGCAGAACAGAGTGGTTAGGAACAGGAAAAAAGGCAAACTGAGCATGCTGGTCAATGGCAAATGCAAGCCAGGCACTAAGGCTGGCTGTGCTCTGCCTTAGGAAACCACCACAAAGTTTGATGATTATTCTTCTTCCCCAACAGAGAAAACATACAGGAAGAGGAAAAAACAGAGAAGCATTTGTAGAAATGAAATGCCTGGGAGCAAGGACTGTGGCAACCTTAAGGTTAGTGTGTTTTATGCTATTTATTCACATTACTTCCTCCCTTTAATAAAGCTCCCTAGCAACTTCACACGCCATCAATTTTTAATTGTAGCTGATGTGACATACATGTTGTCAGTCTCACTGCTGCTGGAAACTCCCAGTCCAGCCATAACCCCATTCTTCTCAAAGCTCCCCACTGACATGTTAATCTTTCCCACCATCACCCTTTAGACATGACCCATTGCCTTCTTCATTTCCACCTTATACTCATGGCTGGGATACTGTTCTGCATGAGCAAACTGTTTAAATGAACTTGAGTGTGTAAAAGGTTTTTTGAGTTGACACTTGGGAGGTACAGCATGTGACAACCTGTTTTACATGGAAAACAACCTAGATGTCTGAAATAGCCATGTGCACTGCTATGAGACATCCCAGATAATTAAGCGGATAACAGTGATTGTTTTGCATGGCAACAGAGGAATGGTGTTGTGCTGCTACCACAGAATGACTGATCTAAGGTCACATCCTCTCTGATTTTCCAGCACTCCTGTGAGAGAGAAGGAAATGGTTTGCCTGAGCTGATCATGCAGGAAAGAAAAAAAAAAAACAAAAAAACAAAAAAAAAAACAACAAAAAAACCCCAACAACAAAGGAAACAACTTTTCTAGGAGGCACCAACGGGAGGAGATGGATCACAGGATGAAGTACCAGTTAACTCATGCAGTCTGTTCCCAAGGCAGAGAGACCAGTTTTACTGACATATGTGCCCACTTAGATGCAGAATCTCAGGACCAAGCAAAATGCTGCTACACTTAAAACACGTGGACGTGCCTGACACATGTAGTGCAAAATTCAAACAGCAAAAGGTCCAGCCTCCCAAGTGCTGAAGATGGATTGCAAGGTCACAATAGAAAGAAAAAATAAAATAAAACAGAGTTCAAAATGATAGGAGACAATGCTCACAACTTCATTAAGACTCATGTTTCCTCCTATAAAAAGACGTCCATTTCTTCCTCCCTCGAGCCCACCAATAATTTCAGTTCCACAGTGGACTCAGGAATGGCACCTTCTCCCTGTATTTCTCATGCCTGAGATGTAACAGCAGCCCCCAACCATGAGTGCTGGCTAGTTGAACACTGAACGTCCAGTGCTGCCATTTCCAGGAGGTCTGATGAGGACTTCACATCTACATTTATTTCTCCCATTCAATACGGGAGGTTCTCCCATATTAAAACCTCATGGGTTTATTTTTCAGGGATAAAACTTGCAGGTTGGCAAGCAACGAAGCTCTTGCATGTGGCTATAAAAAGAAGTAAATAAAATATTCCATAGAAGAAGAATATGAGCAGTGGGAGCTATTAAAATTGCTGCCCATTCCTGGAAGCTTCTGACCACACGGACCAATTTCCAGTCTTCCTTCCTCCAGTGCCATTATGTAATGGAGAAATTTAATAAACATTTCACAGCCAAAACAGCCCTCATCTCCTTGATGCATTGTCTTCATCACTGCAGCTCAGAGAACTTGGTGAGTCAAAAATCCCAGCAGTGGGAAGTTGCAGATTTACAATAATACATGGCTTAACAATACATCGCAGTTTAGCCAACACAGAAATTTCCCTGTTTTTATCAGCAGGAGGATACAGATACGACTCCTGATATTGCCAGAGTTTTTAACTATAGGGAAATTAGGAAAAAAAACCTCATCCAACTTCACAGACCTTGCCTTTACACAAGACACACTTTGGCTGAATAACAATGCAACAACAACAACAAAGCAGAAACCCCTAAATATGCCAGCAACTGTAAAGTTAACAAAATTTAATGTAAAAGCACTTGGGAAAATCCTGAGAGAAAAATGACTATAAAATCAGTGATTGTAAAAGATGCTGTCAGCATTAATACAGCTAACCTTCAGCCACAGGTTGTAATTTGATTTTGTTGTTGCATTATTATGATTTCTTAATAGAGAAATGGTGTTTGCTTTAAAAATAAAACTCAAGCAAAACAAAAACCTGTAATAATTCTTACCAACCCAGAATCTTACCAGACTCTCTTATGACTTCTCTTTGCAATTATTCGATAGCATTAAAAAGTTGTGCAATGGGATAGAAATCACTGAGAATTAAGAGGATGTTGTGAAAGCTCACCGAGATTCTTTAGAAATTGCAAGGGGGATTTACTGAAAGCAAGAGAACTTTTTTCATTTGCCTTTTACGATACAACAGAATGCAACTTTTGCACATTAAACTCCCCCCCCCCAAAAAAAAACAAAAACAAGAAACAAACCACTAAAACAAACAAAAAAACCTAAGCAAACAAAAAAACACAAAACCAAACACACACACAGAGAAAACCCCTAACAAACCCAGTAAAAATGTTTTTGATTACTTTCCAGTGCTTAGGTTTCTCTAAAAGAATCAAAATGCAATTAATACTCAAATGTTACTGAAGAGTATTTTTACTTAAGTATAAAATGTTTTAACAGAATGTCTAAGTGCTGTGCATAAAAATGCCCCCTCTTGTGAAAAAATGACCAAGTTAAAAATTTAAAAGATTTTATTAATTTTTAAATCATTCTATGTAAAATATTTGAAGAACCTAGAGGGTTAGTGATTTCAGGGTTCACCATTATGAGCACACAAATCTCCGGGGCATTTCATGGCTGAAAACTTACTCTTTTGTAGTTGCTCAGCTCCATGGAAAATAAGCTTTTGCTAGCAGACTGCACGTACAGATTTCTGGTTAGCCTAAGAGACAGACCTAGGAGGCACCCTGTACTAGCATGTATTGATTTGCATGCAAGTTTTCTTTCAAACATCCGCCATGCGTTTGGCAACAAAAGCTTTCCCTGAAAATGGAATGGCAGCCTCAGGGCTACAAGGAGGGAGGGAAAGGAACAGGTCTGATGAAACTCATTCAGACAATGAACCATTCTAGAGTAAACGTGAGATATGATCCTGCAGGCACTCTCCATCAGAGCTGTTTCTGAAATCCCACAAATGGCCTTAGCCTGTGTGACCATCACTCAAGTGTTGGAGGAAGCTGTCATCCATGGAGTGATGAAGAGTCAAACGTAAATGGAGAAGAACTGGTGGTATTTTTCAGCGTGCCAGAAAGCAAAAGGTATCTGGGCAGGGTCTCTGCTCTGTACAAGTTGGTCCAACACAAAGAATGTGTCCTCAGAGCAAGCATTTAAACACACCTCCTAAACCCACTGGACAGACAGTGCAACACACTGGAAGAAGAGGGGGAACATGTTCTCCATGTCGTCCTCCACTGATGGCCCGATTTCTCCTGCATGGAGCTTTAACACTATCACACAGCAGTTCCCCGAGAGCAGCATCCGTTTGCAATCATCTCATCACCTCTCCTATTGTATTACAAATTTGTCACATAGACAAAGTGTCCCATGCTGATTCTCAGCAGTGGAAATCTCTCTCAGATGCAGCCTGTTGTCATGGACACTACACTCTGGACATGGCAGTTATCAGGACAATAATCTTGTCCTCCAAGGCCTTGCTACCACATCAATCAGCTTTCAGCAGGTACAGAAAGTAGATTTACAGAGGGGATAGTCTATTCACTGCTTCCTCTTTTGTCACAAATGGAGCAGCCTCAACAGGGCCCAGGGCTCAGTGACAGTGCAGTTACTATATACTGTGTTGGAAGTTTTTAAGTTAATGGGCAAATCAGAGATCAAAATGTAAATTTCCATGAAAAAGCATCTATTCCATAAGGTTACTGCCGTAGGCATAGGGGACAATGCAACAGGGAAAAAGCTGTTGACTTCCCACCTGTGAATCACACAGTATACATATCTCCAATGCAGAAGGCAGAAAAAAACCTCTCTGGTGCATTCCAGGATTCAAAAGTCCCGTTATGTTTTGCAGTAAGGGTGGCAGGAATGAGTTCAGCAGAGTCTTACCTGGATTTGTCCTTTCCCCATTATGCGATCTGTGCTCTCTCCGTCCTCTTTGGTGAGCTTGGTTTTGTTGTAGCACTTTTCATAGCACAGAATCCGCAGAGTTTGTGAGCCTTCCAGCTCAATCTCAAACTCCTGCAGGGCACCAGGAAAGGAAAGAGTAATGAATACATCACAGCAGGACATTAGTCTCTTAATAATCAATCTAGTCTCCTTAAAACTCATCAGGAGGGAGAACTTAAGGACTGAACAAAACCTCTTCCCTAAAGGAGTTGGGTCTAGAATTAAACTGAAATTCTATTTTGAATATGTAAGGTGGTCAAATCAGAGACTAAGACTGCTGACTCTTTAGTCAGGTTCCACTGAGTTTCAGCAAAGCATCATTCAAACGAAAACTCAACCACCTTCCTTGTATTTAACTTTGCTCCCCAGCAGGTTTGAGTTGGCTGTAAACAGGCAAATTGTCTTAATTCTTCCCCCTCACAACAAATAAACCAACCCACCTCCTTCTTCAGCATATTTTCATTTGCCTTTAAAAAAAATACTCAAACATCCATCTGTTTAAATTATGAAATGCTGGACAAGACTCATTTGCGCTAAAATGTTTGTTTAGCTAATTCAGGGGAAAGTCTTCTGCAAGCCCTGGTAGCCCAATGAACCTCACATAAAAGCGTTTTCTGAGCAGCAGCGTATGCAGCACAAGTGCTGAACATGCATCAAGTTCTTCCATTTGTGGGTTTTCTGCCCATCACACATTGATGTTTGGCACATGGAACAAGTCACAATAAGAAAAATCCAACCTACCTCATTCCAGTTGGGCTCCGTGGTGTCTCTGTAAACTCTAGTCTTAGCCTTGTTCACAAAATACCCAAAAGAATCCACCTCTAATGTGCAGTACAAATCTGAGGAGGGGAGACAGGGACAGAAACTTTTGAAAAATTTCTAGAATCTCCTAACTTGCACTAATCACTTTCAGGGTGTGTCTTCATTTGCATCTTCTTTGTATTAGTACCAGTAACACTATCCAGCACAAATCTCATCATCTGGGCCAGCAGAGTTGCCTTTATGAAGCTGAAGTACCAGCACAGCTGTATAAATGACCTCAGCACAGACAAGCCCCTCAACCCTATCAAGAATCAGGTGTATGCTATCATCCAATATCTCCCAAATCAATCCACAGTGAGCAGGTGTACACCAGTGAGAAATGAAACCTCCCCAGGTTGATTTTGGACCCCATCTACACCTCAGAACTGGTTTCACTGAGAACAGTATCAATATAACGTCCCTCAGAGAGCAGGTTAGGGGCCAGCCATCAAAAACTCATTATCTGCAAAGTGGTTAATTATGTGGTATCTGGTGTTTTTGAAGAGCTAGTAATGAACAGTAGACATTGCCCCTATTTGTAAGTTATGTTGTAAGTGATGTCAGCCAGCATCTGGGCAGTCAGTGAGTGGTTCAGCAGGAGGAATGCTAACAGAAGGCATGTGCATCCAGTTCACTCCTCTCCTCCTGAGACTCCACATGCAGCTTATTAAAGAACAGGATCCCCAGCCACATGGCTAGTTAAGCTTTGCAGCTTTTCCTAGATTTTCCTCATCAATGGCCAAGAAGCATGTTTGCTGCTACAGGTGTCCTCTTCACTATTTTTTCACCTTTGTTGATCGTTCTGTCAAATCACTCCTCTGAATTTTAACACTTCTTTCTTCACACCAAAAATTATGAATGTCAGAGAATGCTTCCCATTCCTTTGTTGCAAAATAAAGTACAGTGGAAAGAATTCAGGATAAGGACTGACTTGTATCTAAAATTGTTTGGTAATTAGCAAATACCAACAGACTGGGCCTAAAAAAATAATGCTGCATGCTTGATCCTGATCTGAGAGTTAACTGTAGCATTAAAGAATTGCATTCCCCTAAATTTACACCGATGCTTCAATTTCACTTCCAGTTTTTCAGATCACCTCTCCTCATCACCATTGTCCCAGATGCTGCAATCTTAAACCAGACCCCACCCAGCTGTCACAGCACCTGAATTATCTAACCCCTATCAATACCTCTGTGTATTACAGAACTGCAACTCACTTGAACTTTGTTTGAATCCTGTGGCAGAGTGGACGATGACATTCAGGAACCCATAGAGACCTGGGGATTCATCATCTGTACAAAAGATCCAAGAAATTTTGTTATGTTCACAGAGGAGCCAAGAGTGAAAGACAGAGCAATGAGATTGCTATTGCACAGGTTAATGTGCAGTGGGTACACTGTCCCTAAAAAGGATGGCAGGAGCATGTAGCCTAGCCATTTCAGCAAAAGAGGAGACTGCTCCAGGTTCAGTGTTGGTTTCACCTGTAATGCCTTCTGACAATGTGTGGCTTTTACAACGACATTTCTAGGGTCAGCCAGACAGTGTGGAAGAAATTTGAAAGGAGAACAAGTGAAATATAGAGGCTAAATTTATACTAGCAGATTAAATAATAATCTAGGATGGTCTCTGACACAATTTTAGCCAACTAATGTTCTTCCAAAGGATTCTCAGGCACGGTTCAAAGTTGTCCCAGGCTAGGACTCCAACAGGCACTCCAATCCCTGGCATGATGGCTGCATGTAAAAACCATTTAATAGTCAATAGATATTGGAGGATGTCCAGGAATATTTTACTAATTTAGATGTGGCCATATAATTTAAGGCTTATATTTGTATTGTTGCAGCAAGTAACATTGGGATGACAGACTGTTCTTGTTCCTGCTGCTCTCTTTTTGTACACTACCATCTACTTCAACTAAACTACACAGGTTGGGTATATATAGTCCCAGGTTTTGTTTTACAGGAACTCTCAGTTTGTAACTCATCATCAGGTTGAAGCCTGCTGTAGCAAAAGGAAACAGTAAGATCAGTTCTAGGGGAAATGCACAAAGGCAGACAGAGGTAGGTTTTCACTGCAGCTGTACCATATGAAAGCATAAACCAAAGGTCTCACCTTCCTTATTGATAGTGAGGGGAATGTTGTGGACTGTCTGAAGCTTCACACAGGAGTTTGTCAGCATCTGGAGCTCCACTGATGTGAGTGAGAAGCTTTTAAAGCCTGCCAAGGAGATTCAAAGAGCGAGGAATTAAAACTCAAAGCAGAGGCTGGATACATGCTTCCTCATTCTGAGCATACACGGGATAGCTGCTCCCTGGGCAATGTTCAGCAACAGTAGCATGGAGCTCAAGTCTGTACTGCTGCTGCAGTCCAGCTCTATGGAGGGCTTAGTTATTCTTTGGAGTTAAAAAGTCTCAGGATGGTTCACAGGAAACAAGGTGGAACCCTATTTTCTTGCAAAGCCAAAGAACACCCATGCTGAAAGAGTAAATCATTTTCTTTGGACTGGAGCCAGGTAGAAGGGTGCAGCTGTTCCCTCTACCTGGAATTGCACAGAACTGTGATCTCTACGTGTCCTGGGTTGAGTGAGCGGTGGGGTTTTTTTGGTGGCAGGGGAGGGGGCTATAGGGGCCACCCCCTGTGACACTACAATAAATGGGTGAATCTCTCCACTCACGTACGAAGTGCTCTCTCTACACATTCCCTACATTGTGCTGCAAGCAAAAGTCCCCCAGACAGGCTCAGATGTGCAGAAACAGAAGGTGTCCAGGTACGCTGTGGATTTAAATGCACATCTCCCTTTTTGCAGGGAACCCTGCCCCACACCTCCCCCGGGGTCCTGCCCTCCAGTAAGATCACAGTGTTTGTACCAATGCCCAACTGAGTGACACTCACATTTCTTCTGCTGCTCCCGAATGTTCTCCCTCCACTCTGCCCTTTCATAGTCCGATGAAATGAGGAATGTGTAACTCTACCCGGGAAAACAGAAGAAAATGGGGTATGCATTAGTCTGACCAACCACCGAGAGCAGGCCTGCCTGCCTCCCACCCTCCTCCAGTGGAGATCATCGGATATGCTGTCCCTCTAGTACTCCTGCCAGTTGCCCTATATCACAGCTCTGTCAGCAAGGGGCAGGACTCTGGCAGTGTGCCTTCTCAGCAAGGTGCAGCGGTACCAGCATGGACTCCTGCAGTCAGAGCTTTCACAGAGCTCCACCCTGCCAACAGCAGCTGCATCCCTGGCAGCATGAGGTCCCACAGCAACTCTGTGCTATTCCTCACAACAGTTGCACCAGGAAACTCAAAAGCCTCCAGCACAGGCTTAGACACAGATGCCAGCTGAGGAAGAAGTGACCATCTTAGGGATTTTCACTGGGTAGTAACAGAGCCATGCGAGAATCCTTTGCCACGTGCATGGAAAGGCCACAGTGGCAGGTTACAACCCTGCCAGAGCAGGGGATACCTCTGGCATGCTGAGCATCCCACAGTGCTAAAGGAGATTGGAACATTCAGCATCTCCGGTGCCAAGCACAGCCTACAGTCCTGAGGAGACAGCCCTGTGTGCACTAAGCCTTGAATTTGAAGGGGTGTCTAGAAGGCAGCTGCTGCAGAGCTTTATCTTGAGTAAATAGAGCTGTTCCTATTGCTCTGCCAGGGCAGGTGCTGAGGTAGGGGATTAATTCTAACATTATTTTTCAAATGTCAATGTTGCATACAAATTAGTCATAGCCAAATGAGATGTCATCATAACTTTTACTGTAGCAAGGGAAGGTGCTTTCAGGCCAGACAGCAGAGGGTCTGAAGACCTCCTTGTACAACAGTGTACACAAACACACACACCCCCCCACACCTCGACCTCTGTCTTGTACATGGAGGGAGCCACTCACCTTGCCATTGCGATTGTGTACCCGAAAGGCCATGTTGGGAGACATCAGCAGTAGGAGGGATTCCTGCTCCGAGAGCTTCTTTTTCAACCTCTCAATGACCTTGCTGCCTTTATTGGCCCTCTGAAGGATGGAGGAGAAAGGGAGACAGAGTACATGTCATTCTCCAACATCTGCCTCCATTTACACTGACAGAAATTTTAAGATCCACAATCTCTTCCCTCTATGAGTAGCCAAACGGCCCCAGGCAGGAGAAAACCTGTCAACAGCGTGCACAGGGCTCCCAGCTGCTCAGGAAGATGTTACCTGCAGCATCTCTAAACTCAGACTTGGTTCTGTTTCCCAATTCCTGCTGCCCCAGAGGAAGGTGCAGAGGTGTGTGGCCACTGTCCCAGCTATACCCTGTATTTTCTGTTCCAGAAGCTGCAGCGGAATCATGTCACTGGGCAGCTGTAACACTGCCAGGTCCTCCACAGGCATCCTTAACTAAGGAGACTGTAAGGAACTTCTCTAGAAGCTGCCCAGAACTGTTGCCAAAATTCTCTCCCACTCACCACCCACTGATCCATTTTCAACAGACATCAGCTAAACCCAAGGCTTTTCTTGGATAAAACCCAGTCATGTATACTGTTCAGCACTGATGCCTCACAGCACGTATCTTAGACACCTGTACCTTGTGAGTTAAGAAGCTTCCACACTGTGTTCCTCCTAATCTTACTTTTTCCAGGAAGCCTTCTCTGAAAGCCAGCCAGAACAGAGAGACAGAAGTATGGTCTTTGGAAGCACAGCGGATAGTCTTCTCACAGCACAAGCAATGTTATTCATACCTTGTTCTACATACCAGCAGGTTTACAGATTTCAAACTCTTATTTCTCTCTTGGGTTCCAGGAAGGATTGGAGTCTAAGACCTTTGAGAAAACATGTCTTGCAAGCAAAGAAAAGCCTGGGCCAGAGACACCGTATCTGTGTCAGTTTGCCCAGTCAGCAAAATTAGTGTTCTCCATGTATTTGCTGGTGCTTTGACACTGGTGAAGTCAGAAAAATCTTCAAAAGCATAACTGAGCCTCCAAAAATTCCGAAGTACATGGCTTCTGACCAAAATCACTTGCAGGATCATACTTCAACAGCCAGAGTTTGACATGCCACACTCACAGTCCTTCTCATGTTCACTGCATAAGAGCCCCTCCCGCCACATGGGTGCTCGGGGAAAGCAGTCACAGGCAGTTCCAGGAACGTAGAGAAGCTATTGGGCACAACTACAGGGTCTTTTTGTTTCTGCCTTCTCACTGGACACCATCATTCAAGCCATGCACTAGTATGAGCAATGATGGGCTGCAGAGCATCTGGATATCACTGATAACAGGGCTGCATCACAAGCCTCTGCTGAACAGTCTGTTTTAGGATACGTCCCCATGCTGTGCAGCTCTGGGAACACTACTTCTATCAGCACTTCATCTCAGCAGAGACACTGAGCTTGTACTTGGCATGGAGCACTCAACCCCTTTTACCTTTTCACGCTGGATGTCATTCTTGATCTGGGATATCTTGATCTTCATGGCATCCAGTTCCTCATCAGGTACCAGTGGGATATTGGGCGCTGCCTCAGACTCATCCACCATTTGGAAACTAAGGTCAGTGAGCGGGATGTACCATTTGCAGTCATATTGCTGGCTTTTTCTGAAAGACAGAAGGTCCAAACCTTTTGCTATTACTGATGTTCAGCAACACCCATTCCCCTTTCCCACAAGTCCTTCCCCGCTACTGTGCATAAGATACAGACATGGGCACAACTTCACTGTGATCCCCATGTGCAAGAAGTCTGGTAAGGTGCTGCTTTCCAGCAAGAAAGACTGGAAGGGCCGATAGCCAGTACAGCATACAACAAGGCAACTTGTTTTGTTATCTAGTTCTTTTCATCCTAAGAAACCACAACAATCTTTTGCAAACTGTTTCAGTCCTGTGTGCTTTCCCTTTGAAGCCTCCGTAGAGGCAAAGCTCCAAAGCCATGCCATGCCTCTGACCTGGCTACCCATGATCTAAACCCAGGTATCTCCTGCCTGAGATAGGAGGGCCAAGTGGGGCAGGTGAGCCGATATGTATAAACCTCTCTATAATCCAACCAGAAGAGAGAAACTACAGCTCATAACTGCCATTCTCCAAGTGATTTCACTAGGACCACAAGTTCATTTTTTTAATGTTTCATGTGATTTATTTCCTCTCCATCTCTACTGTCAGGTACATCCACTCTGGAAATGTCCCACTCTTTTGGAGGTTTATTCCTTACAAGCATGTGCTTCAAAAGGGGCAGGAACAACTTGTTGCTTGAGGAGGGCAAAAAGATGAGAGGGGTCTTCCCAACAGAACATTTACTGAATGAAGAAAAGCCCTGTTTCAGGCAGGTATGTTGGTAAACATTCCTCCTCCCTTGTACTACCATGCTGAACACTCCGTGTCTAACTACATCTTGTGGATTATGGTTACTCAGGTCTGGGGTATTCATATTCAACTAAAATTCCTAAACCCATGATTCTGCTGAAGCTGAGGTGCAAAGCACATAGTCCAGAAGGAAAACCTCACCCTCCAATCTGCTTCTTGAGTTTGGCACACAGGAACAGATCAGTAAAAAGAAAGACATGACGTAGCTTGCGAGCCCCCTCAACCAGCTCCACCATGAAACTGTCCTTCAGCAGCTGTCGGTGCTGGTGAAGAAACAGAAAAAAATGTTTTAGTTAGTGCAATATGAGCCCCAGGTTTGGCACTAGGGCAACACATTCCTTAGACATGACTCCTACCAGAGCCAATTCAGTAAACTGGTCTAATTCAGAAGAAGGCTATTAAATGTTCCTTGCTGTATGTTCTGCTCCCTGCTGCTGCCCCCTCTCCCAGGGGCAGAAACAGCCACGCATCTCCTGGTTCCAAGTCAGAGTTCAGGCTTCTCTCCATCACCTGTTCCTGGGCCCAAGCATGATTTATTGAGTCATTGCCCAGCTTCTGTGAACCCAAGGGCCAGAATCACTGAGAGTACATCATCCCCTCACAAACCAGCAGAGAGCAGCAAACACCACTTTTCTCAGGAGTCGCTTACCCAGCCACTTAATTCAGCTTCAACTGCTCCACCAAGGAGGAGCGAACACCTCCATGAACACCACTCACTCCCTGTCCACAACAGTAGTTTGTCAACATTAACAGCTGAATGCCATTGCTGCTTCTTTATTACAAGTGCTGTTAAGGGATAATTCCTGAACAAGATGTGTATCTAACAAACTTCTCAGTAGTCCCTTATCAGCCTGTGCTTAATAGGACCATCTGGGTATGCCCCCACTCCATGCCTATTTAAATCTCTTTTATATATCATCTAAATATTCCCCAAACCTAGAATAAGCTAAGAAGCCACACAACTCTGATGCCTTTATTCCTGCTTCTAGTTCCAGGGAGCTTTACAAGCTCCTAAATAAGAGGCCCGTGTTGGCAGGCAGAAGCATCGCTTTCGTAACTCCCTTATGGGGACTTCATAGTTGAAAGACAAAAAGGCTGGAGCACTGGCACTGAAACAGATGACTGTGTGCTGTGACCAGTGACCAAGCCAGGAGTTTCAAACCCTGCTCTACACTTCAGGTCCTCTGCTTTGATGTCAGGATCAATAGGACTCTGAGTGCACACCCGGCATAGACATCTCCCACTGATTTGCAAACAGAAGTCAGAGGTATCCAACTCTGGGCAAATTATACTCTCACCAATGAGCCAGCATTGCCTTGCTTCACAGCCAGTACAAGCAGGAACCATCAGCTTCTCCACACATGCTAAGGTACGCTAAGGTACTTTTTCCTGACCAGTGCTATTTCCTTGCTATTTGAGTGAAGATGATGCCCCCCTGACACCAGTGAGCGACACGCTACGAATACTATATATGCCTAGACAGCACCAGTGTCTGGGGACAGGAGAGATCTGCTAGCACCGCCCAGCACTAACCGACACCTCCCCCTGCTCTCTAACCGCCAGCCCTCTCCAGGCCCAGGCTCAGGACCTGTCAGAACAACACTCCTGACCTGCTGTACCTCTGTGATCCCCATGCTGGGAAATGCATGCATGAAACCCGTCCATTTCCAAGAGGCAGCTGTGCTCAGCTATGCAGCAATATGCAACAGGAAAGCAGTTAACCCAAGCAAGGTCAGGACACCCAAAACAGCATTAATGCCTCAGTTTCTCAGGTTATGCCCCATGGGTTTTGTTTGCTGTGTGACTTAACCAGCCCTGAACACATTTACTGCAGAGGGTGTGGGAGTGCAAACCCCCACGCAGCCTCTCCTTCCCATCTTGGCTCTCCAAAATGAAAACAAACCACATCAGTGCTGAGCCCAGCAGGCATCATGGAAAGGAACAGAAGGCAGAGATATGCCCTTGGAAATGTAATTCTTGTTTCCACACTGTCCTACAGCACCCTAAAGTTCCTGACATGGACCAAGAGTCTGCATTTTCCTGCCTGCAGCTGCACTAGCACCACAACTAGCTGTTAAAGCACACATACCAGTGTCAGCATCTCATCTCGGTGCTGCCTTCCATTACACAAAGATCTTGGAAATCTGTGAGCAGTAGCAGCAAAAGCTGCAACTTTCCCATAGTTCCAGGAAGCAAAGGCTGCTCCCTAGCAGACTGTTGCACCATCTCTGGGCAGGAGTCTGGGGAGAGCTAGTATCCAGCAGTGATTCAGGCCCAGAAAGGCCTGTACATATGTTAATGTTTATTTTTAGGTGGGCGTGATCCTCCTGGCTTCTTCTCAGTGGTTTTGGAGAGAACGCCTGCCTGCATTAATGTCTCTGCTGCCGATGCGCACTTGTGCATGCCTCCTCCTTCTGCCTGGTGAACAAACCCCAGGTAGGAAACCAGAAACATTGAGTTTTAAAATAAATAAGAAAGAGGAGGCATACTGTCAGTAGCAAAAACGCTTTCCACAGCGGCAAAGAATTTCATTAGGGAACAATAATGAAGCACGGAAAGATATTTTCTGAGCAAGCCAAAACCCTGATCTCAGGTTTCTAGATCTGATGCATATTAATTACACTGCAAATCAGCTCAGCTCCTCTGGGGCAATGAGAATAGCTGCTTGTTGCCAGCTCAACTCCTGCTCATTGTTCGTAGGTGTAAAGATGTTCTTACAGCTCACTCATCTCTGCTACCCAGCAGGATGTAGCACTGTCCCTTCCCTACCTGGCAGGCACATGGCATGGTCCTGACCTGGCCTTCCGCCTTGCTCTGCCAGGCACTGGCAGTGTGTGAGATAAGCCAAGACCCCAGCCCAGCACCCTGCCGAGAGTTCCTAGATGAAAAACACCCCAGGCTAGTCCCGAGCACAGACTCAGCACCCAATCCTGGGAGGATGTCTCTGGTGGCAGAGACAGGCCAACAACATGGCCAGCAGTGTGTTTCTTCACAGGCAACGGAGAGCACAGGCCCATGAGAGCTGTTGGAGGGCTGTGAAGGACTACTGGATCACAGCCCTAGATCAGCCCCTTGGTTTTGCCAATATTCCAGTACCATCATCTAGACCAGAGCACTTTGAAGACAAGCATGTTTTCAAGTGAAGGGGAAGCCCATACAGAGGCACCAGTGACTGGAAACCTCTGTCAGGCCTCCACAAGGCAAGAAAAAAAGAGCTCATCAGTATTCCCTGCAGCAAGGCTACAGACCTCACCCCATGGCCTGCCTGCTCCAACCAGGCCACCCCTTCTCCTGCCTTCTGAAGTTGCACCTAACTTGCTGCTTCACAGTCCTTGGCTGTCACCATCCAAGCAGACTCCCTCCAAGCAGCCATGCTCTCTGTCCCACATCGCCCCAAAACCCAAGCAGAAAGCTCAGTCATATGATGCTAAAACAGGGGTGTGATTCAACAGCCTTCATATTTCCCATCTGGGACTGAGGTACTTCTCATTTGCACTAAGTTTATTTTGGCTAGCACTCCAGGGTACAAAATACCCTGACTGACATGAGACACAGTGCTACCATGAGGTAGCAAAAACTCTTTGGCAGCATGATCTCCCAGAAAGAGAGCTGGGTGGGAAGAAGACAAGGCTGCATTTCCTAAGCTTGACTGGAACAGAAGTAAAGAGGTGAAAGGGATGAATGTCAGTCAGCCACTCTGAGGAAAACACTGAGCTTCCCAACCTTTCATTCTTCCTATCTTCTCACTCATGAGCTAGTTGGGAAGGCCTCCCTTCAGAAATCAGCGGAGATAAACTGCCACAAAAGCAACCAGGTGTGTCTGGGGAGGAGAGGACAGGAGAAAACATTTGTGGGTCAAGTCAGGAAATATCTCCTCACAAGAGTGTGGAGCTTGATATTAGATCTACTACCAGCTTCTCTCGGAAAACAGGACTTTTGTTAGGGCTGGGCACAACAGGCATGCCCCAGGCTGCTCAGCATCAGTGGAGCAGAGGAGGAGCACTTCCAGCAAAGGGTCATATCCTTTGTTGTAAATGATTCATCTTGCTGGGAGGGCTCAGCAGGTCACAGGGAAACAATAAAAGGATTTCCCAACTGGCTTACCAGATCCCTGCCAAACCCCATGGTGAGGGAGTGCAGAGCACCTTCCCGGACCTCCCGACATGAGTCAGCCCATCCTACCCCACCCTGGGGGAGCCAGCAGCCCCCTCAGACAGGACTTGTGCCTGCCAAGTGCCTGTGCCACCTCAGCTCCACAGGCCTTCTCTAGCAGTTTGGGAACCAAAGCCCACCTTGGTCAACTCCTTCCCACCCAGTCAGCAACAGCAATTCCTTTGGTGGCCTCCTGTTAGACAGGGTCTCCTGAAACATGGGGCGCCACGATTGAAACATGGGGCTTTTTGGCTGGGTGATCCTGCTGTACATGACATACAGTAGCCTTTGCATGGGAAACCGTCTCTCTATCTTGTTTCCACAGTTACTCTGCTAAGGTTACTAAAGGTTTCCTAAAATACCCTGAAATGACATAAGACTACAGAAACACCAAATAAACATCCAAGAAAACACAAGCTTAAAATCAGAGTGGCAGTACAGTGGCGGAACGACCCCCTCGCTTTCACAGACAGCCCCAAGACTGTCAGGTGTCCAGCACAGGAGCTCAGCTCAGCTATAGAAAGATGTTTCCAGGAGGCCTGGGGGAAACCTTCCTGTTCTGTATCATAATGGACTGAATTAGGGTCATCTTTAATCTCTCAAACAGGGCCTGAGCCGACTGTTACCTTCAGTGGCTCTTGCAAAGCTTCTGTACCAGTGCAGTACATGTTCCAAGTCTCCTTTCTAGGCACTGCCTTCCTTTGCATGTTTTCATCTGCTGCTTTTCCCACCCACCTCCATGCTCTGGACAAAAGAGCTTTCCCTGTACATCTTTCAGTGCTTGGATATCCTCTTTGCATTGCCTATTGCTGTCCTCCTCCTCTTACCTCCTCTGCATATCCCCCTCCCTCTGCTACCAACCTCACGACTACCTGTATGCTCATCTATTCATCCTACAGTGTTTTTGTGCTGTTTGCATATGATAAATCCTGCTGCTGTCACGTACCGTTTAACTCCAGGAAGTGTGGCCAGCTTGTCTGAGACACATTACAAAAAGTGGAGTTTAAAAATCTACTTATGCAGAACCACAGCTGTACAAAAGGACGTCCCCTCACTTGTGTGCCGAGGAAAGAGCTCATCCGATGTGGTGACAGCAGAGGCCTGCAGCATGCGTGGGCGAGAGCCCCGGGAAGGACTGAAACATGTGTGATGCAGGAGGAGGAGGGTAAAAGTGGGAGATGGTATTGGCATATGTCAGTGAGGAAGAGGTGGTTTGGCTTTCTGCAGAGTGTAGGAAGAAAATTATTCCATGTGTGTGTGTGTGCGCGCATGTGTTGCAAGACCAGCATTGCAGAATAAAGGGATGCTCTGCCTAGGGAGCTTAACTGGCTACTCTTTGAGCATTTTAATAGCCTTTCTTTTTTCTTGCCAAAGCTTTTGTCACCAGGAGCTCTCTGACTCCAGCTGTAAGACAGAGTGTGAAGCATCTAAGATCATTTTTGAGTGCTCTATTGCCAACATCTGCCCAAGGCCTCCAGAAGCAGTAGGCACCAGGCCTCAAGCTGTGCATGGCTGCCTGTGTCTAAGCTTAGCTCCCAGTTTTTCAAAAGCTTTAGTTTGTACTTCTGCTCTCTTGCAAATATCTTTTGTTGTTTCCCTTCCCTAGCACACTTGGCCTCTACCAAGTTAACTGGGAGCCTAAGGCAATGATATTCAGTCCCTTGACTGCAAGTTTAAAACCACATTTAAAAACATGGTGGAGCAGCTTGCCAAGCAGCCTCTTCTCTCCAGGGCAAGAGAAAAGGTGCACAGTAGCATGAGTTTATCCAAAATGTCATCTAGTGAGCTTGATCCCAGAAGAAACTGTCTGTCAGCCCTCTCGTGTCCAGACTGGTGCTGATAAGACTGGACACTAAACCACTCACCCAGCAGAGTGAACCAAAACTCAAAAGAGGCTTAATTTTTAGGCAGCTCCATTCCTCCATGCCACTATGGGATCACACAAATACCAGTGTGAACACTTCAGAGAGGGCAGGACTGCACAGCCAGAGGCGAGGCAGGATGGCAGCCACCACCACTCTGGTTGGTCTGAACTGCCCTGAAACAAAATCCTGCAAAGCACATTAGACAAATAGCAGTCAAGAAAGGAACCACCATCTCCCAAATGAACTCTGCAATTTTTTGCAGTTTCATCAATTCCTGCTTTACAAGAGTAGGCTGAATTAGCTGGAAACACAAGCCTTTACTTCTGTCAGGGGAAGATGACACAAGCTCTACAATCATTTGCATCCAGGCTTAGTTGAAAAAAATCCATATAGCTGTTCTGTTAATAAGATTAGAAAAGTTATTACTCCCTTCTGGCACATAACAGTGGCACATGCTTCACCTCAAAGCATTTGTTCTCCTGCTTCCCTAAGGGACTATCCCCAGTAGAACCTTAAACAGGTTCCCTATTTAAGCCAAAAGGATAGTGGTGAAAAAGCATCAGCAGTGAGCAAACAAGATGCCTGCTCCATGGTCCTAAGGGGTGGAAGACTCTCTATCACTCTCATTCTGAGTCAGAAGGTACAGTGCTACTCAGACCACCTTTCCCTCCATGCATTTGCTTGGTTATTTAGAGAGCTGGCAAAGTGGATACCTGCAGATAATCCATCAAAAGAAGTAAAAAGTAAAACCACAAAAGTAGAAAGATGGGAAGAAAAGGAAGGATCAAGAGAATGTTGCAGATCAGGGTGAATGGAAACAGACCCAAAAGCTCAGATAAGCCCTCCTGGCTTCTCTGTGTTGCCAGGCTGGGCTGGTGGTTCTCCTGGCTCCTCCATAACACAGCCCTCAGCAAACTACAAAGCAGAGAAGATTAGCTACAGGCAGCCTGGCAGACAGCAAGGACCAAACCATGTGTTCGTAGGCTTAATCTACCAATATTGCCTTCCCTGTTGTAGCCCTTGCTGTTCCTCTAGTGAGTGGTTTCACTCCCTTTGTTCCCATCTCCTTGCGCTACCTGAAATACTCATTCATCCCAGCAAATTAAAACTGGTCCATGCATCACAGAAAACTTTCAGTTTATATGCATAAGTCTAGACTTAGAAAAAAGTCTACTGAGCCAAGCAGAACCAGGGGGCTGGTGTGCAGGAAGGACACCTGACATCACGCAGGAAGACGGCAGGCAGGTCAGACTGAGTCGATGCTCCCGGAGCAGGGAACCACCTTTTGCAAAGGGGAGGAATACTGTGCTGATGAGCCTGTACTCTCTCCTGACCTGAACTCCTCTCCTTAGCAGCCTGTCACTAGGGGGATTAACAACTGGCTGCTTTCCCCAGTTCAAAGCAATCCTGAAAAAAAAAAAAGAGCTGGAGCAAGAGGCTGGCAAAGGAGATTTGACTCCTCCCCACAATGCACTCAAAGGGGAAAAATATTCCACATAAAAGGCAAGGACTGAGAAAAAAAGATAATTGAGATCAGCACCTAAGCAATACAGGAGGGTAAAGGGCTGTTTTCCCTCTTTCCTTTCCACCACGGAAATTTCAATAGGAGGAAGACAAATAATGAAAAAAGCCATCAAAGCAAGCTGGTGATTCATTAAAATAAAAAATGCATTATGCATCGAGAGCAGTCAATTAGGAGATGCAAACTGCACACTGTCCTGTCACCCTAGGGGAAGCACAAGCAAGGCAAGTGCGAGGAAAGGATAAGTAGAAAAGGAAAGATTTACAGGCATAAACAAAACCCAGCTATGACCCCAAGCTGAGTAGCTAGTCAGAAGGAGCAGCCATTACTAACCCACATGGAGTAGCTGGGAGCAGACTTGTGTCTCTGGATTACTATGAATAGAGCGAACATACCTACCCTCTAGACACTGAGTTGTGTCAATTAGGGCATTGCTGCTTTGAAAAGAAGTGGAATATTGGTGCCAAATGACTAAAGAAAGTATCCACCATCAGATTCTCAGAGTGGAAGGAAAACTCTGGGAAGCATCAGGAACAAGTCCTTTTCTTCCCTGGGCTCAGTGCAAGCTGTGTGCAGTGAGGGAGAGCACAAAGGGATCCCAGTCCCCTCCAGCATACCCAGAGCACTCTCTTTGGGTGTGTCCCCTTCTTTCCCTCCCCACATCATACATGGAGTCATGCAGGACCAGTGAGAATGTCAACAGGCCTGATGAGCCCAATCCTGACAAGCTTCCCCTTCCTGCTTTCTAAGATCTGACAAATACACCACTCCAAAAAGAGATTATCAGGATCACCCTCCTGAGCCTGACCTTCTGTCTGGGCTCTGGCACCTCATTAGGATTCTGCATGACACTTTTCAAAGCCTGCATCCCTCACTGAGATGCTGACAGACAACTGGAGAACACAAAATGCTCTCTCCTCTGCAAGGGGTCATTCTAGCTTGAGATTTCTGCTATGACTCAATCAGCATCTGCTTTAATGAGGCCATCTACTATCCCTGAAGCCCTGGTGACTGATGTCTGAGCTTCTACCTCAGCCTCCAATTGCTCAGCCCCTCCTCTTCTTTTCTCAGCTGCAGGCTTCCTCAGTTGACAAAACGAGACAATGAGCAAGACTTGCAGGACAAAGTGCAGCAAATTCCCAGTACTGCAGCTTCTAGCAAATCTTTGGCAGCTGAAAATCAGTTTAATAGCTAAAAGCAAGCATGTTTAGCTGACAGGATTTGGGAATACATTGTGAAGGTTCATGGTATCTTAACAATCTCCTGGGCTTTGCAAGAGATGTTTTTTTACAGGGTAATTTGGGTCACTTTTGATCAGCCAGTGTCTCTGGCATGCTGCCACAATTCCTCTTACACATATACTATCTGAGCTGCACCTCTCTCTTGTCCAATCTCCTACAACCTTCTCTCTCAATACGTCTGTCAGTCTTGCCCTTTCCTCATCAGGAAGGACTGAATTGCTTTCTAATGAAATCACAAGGCAGATGAATCAAGCCCACTGAGGCATGCAGGACTTTACCACTTTGTACCTCTATGCTGTCCTTGCACAACATTGCATGCAGGTAAAGGAACTGTACATCTTGGAACTTTCTGAGTGTAGTCCAGTTCCTAGCAGAGCTGAGAAGAATTATATTACACACTTAAGAGTCAACCACCTCCCTTAACTTCCACAACCCATTTCATGTGTTATGCTTTCTAGTCCCATTTACAACATTCTTCTTTAGAAATGAGGATTCCAAACCCGAGTTTTGAGAATGTGAGTTTTGAGAAGGTGAGAATGAAGATTCTGGAAAACAATTTTTCCTAATCTTTTATGATATCTGATGTTTCCTCATCTTTTTCTCCTCTCAGGCTTCCTATTTGGTTTCAGTTTGCAGTTAAAACACAGATCCATTTAGTGCATAGCAATATGCATCATAGAAATTATGTATGACAAATGATCATAACAGTGCTAAGGACAAAACTCTAATAATACTTTTCCTCTGGGTTCCCAAACTGGTTTCTGAACAGAAAACAGAGAGGAGCTGTACCACATCCTTTAGAGAACAAGGACATGGCATTAACTGTATCTTAGCAACAAACGAAATTAATAGCGTAACTTCCTAGGCCGCTGTACAGAAAAGGCACAATCAGTATTTAGAAACTGAAAATATAACGAAAGCTGGAAGACTCACCTCCCCCTTCTTTACAGTCATGGACTGCCGACGAGGCGTGATCTCTTCATTGATGCTGGAGAGGAAGTTCTGCGAGATCCGCAGAGCATCCTGCAGGAGTGGATGATCAGGGTGGCTCACTGGAGTGTGCTTCAGCAAATCCTGACACCAGGAACACAAAGAACAGAACCATGAGCAGTGTCAGAAAGCAGAGGGTCCGAGGGCCCCTAACTAGTGTTGTAGAACAAGATGCTCCAACTTCTTCGTAGAGATTAGAGCAAGGCTTTATCTCTAGAGAAAGAGAATACTCTGGCACCTCTTGGTAACACCACTGAAGAGGTAGCAGGGTCCTACCTACAGATGCCCTCCCCTTAGTGTAAAAAGACGAGGCTCTTCTGCAGCATGACAGGTTTATTTCTGCAGTCCTGCAGCTCCATGCAAAATTTGAAGAAAATAGGAAAGGGGCCTAAAGTTTGAAAACAACCCTTCAGATACTCACATGCAGGACAAGTGTGCTGCGAGTTACTCGATCCACTGGCTTGTATAATAGAGCTGTGGGAAAAAAAAAAAAAAAGCAGCAAGAACATAAGAAAGAGGTACCTAAGCACAGCAGTCCCCACAGAGCAACTTGTCCAGCTGAACTGAATGTACAGGCACAGGTTTATTAACCAATGAGCTACTGGAAAATTCCCTTCTCTAAGGTTAATGCACTGTACAGCCAATAAAACATACATGAACACACAGAGAAAATAAACACACTCCACAGCAAACAGATGCCCACTTGCAAGCACGGCCTGCCACACAGTGGGTAAGAAGCACACAAGGTAGTACAGAACAACTGCACACAGCATGGCACATTTCCAACAACTCCCTGGCAACCTGCGTGGTCCCACAGGTCAGAATCAGACCTTGCACTCTTAGAGTTGCCAAGGAGGGCCCTGAAAGTTTGGCAGTGCATCCCTCCTTCTGGAGTTCAGCGTGACATGTTGATTGCTTCCAAATCCTGATAACAGGTCAAAACAGGAAGGGGATTGGCTTTTATATTAGTGAGTATGGAAGCTTCTTATAACATGGGTTGTCTTCTACTTATGTGCATAGAGACAAGCACCATGGAACCTGATCTTGACCAGGTTCTCTAGATGCTACCTTAGGGCAACAAAACATATAACAATAACTGCTAGGATTGTGTTTGTGCTATCACTGGGTAGCAGATGTTCTCTTAAAACCACAGCAGTCCTTTGGTTGGCCTGGTTTTGTCCAAAGGGACTGATGAGGTTTTAAGCTGGGCAGGGTCTTCCCCATGCATGCATGCAGCTTACTATGCACTAGCTCTGCTACTTAGCAAAAAAGAACTGATTTCCCAGGTAGAGCCAGCAAAGACTCCATAACCTTCCAGCATTTAAAAAGAAAAAGGGAGAGTGGAGGTTTGGCAACAGCCTCCACACCACAGTCCTGACAAACCAGAGTCTCCTCTGCATGGATCACTCACTTTCCAAGGAATTTTTCGTCGTCTGATCTTTAGATTCCTTTGTGCTTCTAGCCTTTAGATTCTAAAAGAAAAAGAAAACCCACGTAGCAAATGGTCAATCACCTTGAAATATCACATGGGAATGTAAGAGACTACCTGCTCCTCCAAGGGAAGGCCTAAGTATGAATGGAGGAGCCCTATCACAGTTCAGGTCAGTGAAGGAAAAACATGCTTTCCTTCTTGGTAAATCCACCATTGCAATGTCACAGACACCCGCACATCTCAAATATTAAGCAATTTTCTTAGGAGTTCATGTCAATAGAGATGCAGCAGAGCAGGGAACTACCTATAGCGACAGGGATGGTGGATTTTTTAAATCACCTGCAGAAGAAAGATGTGCCCGTAAGGATGCAGCCGTTGTCACACCACGTGTACACTGACAATAAATAAAGTACAGGACTGGGATTCAGTACCTCCAGGTTATAATTCCTTATACCTGTACTCAGAGCTGGGTGACCTTGGACAAGTTAGCTCTCTTCTATGGCAGAAAAGGAACAATGCCTTGTGACTTGTATTTGCACATGGACTGTGAAGCTTACATGCATTAATGTGTTGAGCTCCAAAATCTTCACCAGGACACAAATGCAAAAGTATCATCGCCATTATTCCAAATACAGTAGATACTAGCATGATTTCAGAATTATCCTTTGGAAAACAGCAAAACAGAGGGATCGCATTTGCACAGAGCCCAGGACCCTGCAGACTTAATCTCTATTCCATCTTCTAGGGACTTCTATAATACTATGTATACGTATTATTATTAAAAAATGGGAAAGTCCAGAAGTGTATTATAGTACTGAAATAAAACTAAGCATGGGGGAAGCTACTTTAATAATGAGTTGACACCACTAGAGCACAGAAGTGGTCAGGCAAAGGACCAGAACCTAATGGAAATCCTCATGAAAGGAGAGAATAGAAGGCATTTGCACTGCATGAGTAGTACAGAAGGACTCAAAAGACAATCCTTGCTTCCCTCATTTCACAGAGGGAACATGTTTTATTTTACATCTTTATTGTAAAAATCTAAAGGGACATGCAATATTGAATGTACTGAAGGTTTGTTTTGTTTGTTGTTTGTTTGTTTGGGTTTTTTGTTTTTGTTTTGTTTTGGTTTTTTTCAGAGCAATGAACGCCTCTAGTAATATTCAGCTCTGATTATTTATCTGCTTATTTTTAAGGACACACATATGAATTTCATGTTTTCTTGGCAACTTAGTTCTTCAAGATATAATCACCACAATAAAAAGAGTCAATCAGACCATGCACTGCCCACAAAGCTGGTGGCCTGGGAAGCCTGAAAAAGTATTAAAGATGCTTTGACACAAGGTATTCCTCTTAAAGAAAGGAAATCAGAGTAGCCTAGTGAATAGTATTATAGACTATGTTTGACACACTTGCCTTTTTAAAGAGAGAGCTACTTTCTTCTCCACTCCATGCCAGTGAAGCCTGCAATTCCACTGACAGCCATAATGCAAGCCATTAAGGATGGCTTTTTACACCACAGGCAGCAGCATCATTAGCAAGAGAAATATCTGAGAAACTCAAATACAGCTTTCCCTTCTAGAAATTCATGAAGGTGGCATAGAGCTGCAAAGTTCAAAGCAATGCCAGTTTTTACAAGATCCCCTGGGTGAGGACAGCACATAAAGACTGCCTGTGTGATAACCTCTATTAGCCCAAAGTATAAATTGCTGTAAGAACATGAGCTGAAGCAGCGAGTCTACAGGAGCTCACAACTCCTCCAGAAGTCAGGGCTGCAAAGATACTTGGAGGACAGACAAGAGTGACATTGCAGGGTATTAGTCAGATCCAGACAGCTCGTGTGTCTGAATACCATGACATTACCTCAGAGATTTCAGCAAACTGAGCATTGGCTTGGCAGCATTTCTCCGCTGTCTCCATAGCAACTTCATAGTTATCCACAAAGGCCCGGTACACTCCCAGCTGGCTGGCCTGCAGGAAGCAAAACAAAATAAAATAAATCCTGGAGAAGAAGATAGTTTAGGATGGCCAGCCTCAGTATCTAATGATCAGGTCATGTTCCTTCACACCAAAGTACCACAGGGGATGCTGAGCAGGCCCAGAACAACATCTCTGACCTGTCAGCCTTGCTAACCAGCACTGTGCTCTCATGAATCCAGTTCCACCTGTGTTGAACAAGTTCACTTGTGAAGGATGTGGAAGCCTGTACGAATGACACATCCTTATTGCTGCCATCTATTTTTCCCTTCTGAACTGCCAGATTAGTATCTATTAATATTCTAGCTCATTGATGTAACTGGAGCTGCTGGCTATTTGCCACAAAATATGAATCAGACAAGAATGATTCTGCCCAACAGCACAAATGTGGCCCCAGAAAGCTACTTGTTGGCTTTTGCATGATGGACAAACTAGATCAAACCCAGATACTAACCCATATCTGCATTAGTGAACATCATTATAAGGGCAGCAGAGTGCTGAAAATACAAAGGAGAGATCCAGAGCACAGTCTGTTTGGAAGGCAGTGACTGCATCAATAAATGACAGAAAATGGCAGTTTTTCCAGTAGAGGGAATACATAATTGGTCCAGAAAAAGTTGGAGCAGGCCTCAGAGTGCAGTAATAAACCATTATTATCACCAAGTCTTAGCACTAAACCTGCTTGCTGACTTAGGAATTGCAGCCACATTAATGCCAGAGAACATAAAATCTAGCTCGGGAAATCCCTAGGTAGCTTCCAAGCTCGTCTGGATTGCAGAGCTGGTTTTGAGTTGCAGAGCTGCACACGCTGTGCTGTAAACGCCGCAGCAGCTTGAAGGTGCTTGCAAGTGCATGGTCAGTAGTAAGCCAACAGGTGGAGTGCTATAAAAGGCTCCATTAAAGAAAAGTTTGTTACCAGAAGAGCTTGCACTTACATTATTACTCCTGCAACTTCCCTGATGCTTCTGCCCAAGATGTACAACAGGCAGAGCAGTTAATTTTCCCACAGAGAGTGCTCTTTCCCTCTCCTGATCTCTCATAATCACTGTGTTCCCCTTTCTCTATGGAGCCTTGTGAAGAGATGATGGAAGCAAAAAAGCCACTCTCAGGAGAACATTCCCTGCACAAATTTCTTTAGCTAACAGAGTCTAAGAAACAGCAAGCTATTTCCTAGGGCACATTTTACTGAAAGATTAGGAACCAATCTCAATCCTCACACAAAATAACACTATTATGACTGAAGCTGAAGGAAAGTGAGCTCACTTATGCCAGCTATAACCTGGTCCCAGCACTGTGGAGAGAATAAAATCTGTATTTGCCACTGGGGCACAATTCTGTGAAGAAGCTGCTGTCAGAATTACTGATAATTTGTGGGGTTTATGACATTTGGGTTTGGATGATGCAACTAACATGGCAGAACTTTACATTTACATTCTGCTACTCCTGAGCAGTATTTCTAAGTTTTCACTTTAATCCTCTAAACATGCCATCATGAAAACATCTTTGTCATTAAAAACTGAGCTTCCAATCAAAGCAATAATGTTCACACAGTTTTCATGCAGGCTTAATTTTTTTCGTTTTCAACTAAAAGAACATGCTGAAAACGAAACAAGCTTTGGTAGAAATAAATGGCTTTTGGTTAAAATTTTTTCCATTCCTGAAAACTATCAGTGATAATATCTGCTAAGTATTTCTTCATTTCTAAAAACAGTCCTAAAGTGTTTCCTTTCTAGTTATAAAAAATACATACAAAATAGTCATCAAAAATAAGAAGCATATTTCACTCCCACATGTCTAGTATCTTTTTTTTTTCCTTTTTCTTAGTTTCAACAGGAAAAAGGTGGAATAACTGTCACTGATGTTGCAAACGGATCGTACTTTGTGCCAGACCACATGAAATTCTAAAACTCCTTGCATGCACTACCTATAACATCAATCTATGGTGCTTTGTTTACTATGATATCAAAGAAAATTAATGTCCCCAGGGACCTCAGGATAATAATATGGATTCCAGTTGTTTATCATCAGATTGCATGACATGACCACAAGTAAACAGTCTGCTCCAAAAGATCTGATGTACATCCAGTATAGATGTCTTGTAATGCCTAATGTTCTTGCCATCTCTCTCATCTAGCTGTTTCCCACTGCCTGCCAAGAATTATTAGCTTTATCTCATCCAGCAAGAGTTTGCAATTCCCACTTATACTGTACCAAACCACCAGAAACTGAACTACTAAGCTAGCTCAAGGCTTCCTGCACTAGAGCAATTTGCTCCTTTGCTTCCAATACTAATCCAACCAAATCAATGACTGTCACAAATGCAGAAAAATCAGGGGAACATACAAATAGAGTGCCAGAAGGGCTTAACTCCTGCACCTGTGATCACCATCAGCAAGAAATGGTCTTAAACAAAGACTTAAGTAGCTGTACAGTGAATCAAAGCTTGTTCGACAGCCAGTAGTGGTAAAGAATATAGTCAGGTCTTCTCCCATTAGTGCTGTCTTCATTGCTGCACTATACTTCCAACACAGTTTGTGAGGCTTCTACTTTCAGCAGTCTTCTGTATCTTTGCTTCAGCAACCAGCAGCAGGTGGTTTTGTCTTCTTAAACCAGTTGCTCAAATTGCATACCATGAACTACTCACCAAGGCACCAACTTGGCCCTTCCTGGCTAAAACATGCTGGCAATGAAAAGCAGATTCCCGTATTTTGATCTTGAGCTGCTGGCATGCGTGGAAAACATCATCTTCCAGGCCCATCTCTCCCTTCTCCATAGGGGATGCGGCTGGTGCTGGGCTACACAGCTGCTAACAATTGAGTGACCCTAGTAAAGCATACTCCCCATCCAATAAACCCCTCACTGGAATGTCACTCCTACCCTGAGAATCAGAGGCACCTCAGGAATGCAGAAATTCTTTTCTTTTCTAAAAAGGAAAAAACAGCTCCTTTAATCCTTTGCTCTCTGCACATGCTATGGGAGAGGCTAAAGGGGCCACAGGAATCTCCTAGAATGCAAACAATTTGTCATCTGGCTCAGAAACTCAGCATTTTTAATTCAGCCTCAGGAATACACTGTATATGTCTTTGTCCTATTCTGCACTCAGAGTTTTGTTTAGGTTGCTTGGAGGATTCTCAGCAGCAGGTTGACTGCATCAGCATAGCAGCAAAGGGAGTATCAAGGCCAGGATGGTGGTAGAAAAGCAAAGCCAAAGGTGATGACCATAAAACAGAGAAAATCAGCACCAGATAGAGCAAAGCACCACAGTGAGAAATAAGTATGTGTGGGGGAGTTCAGCAATAATGAGAAACACTTAGCTGTATGCTTTTTAACACTGCCATTCTCCCATTTTTTCTCTAAAGCAAATGGTTTGACAACACTGCAGACACTCTGGAGATTCAACATTTCTGTGAAGTCGTATTTGTATTAGTAGTATAGCTTGCTGGAGTCTTTAACTAAAGGCAATGAAACAGGCACTTTTGCTATAGGCTCTTCACTACAGTGGCAAAGCTAGAAGCCTCTCATTTAACCCAGCTATGGGCTTTCATCTCTTTGGTGTATGCAGAGTCACCAAAGGGAATCGTCCCAGCACCTATGAGATGGAATGAGAGGTAACAAACTTTCATGATGGTATCTGACTCACCAATTTTTGGAAGAGGTCCCCTACGCATTGCTGGTGACTCCACTGCTGCACTCGGGGAAAAAGCCCATCATAGAACTCTTTGTGGATCTCATAGAGCTCAGGCACTTTGAAGAATATTGTCTCAATCTGCTGACTCGTCAACACAGGCTGAGAGGTGGTGGCAGCTGCTTTCAAAGGCTTCATAGGCTGAGATGAGGAAAGAAGGAAATCATTATCAGGCAAACCAAGTATAACCACCCTTGCCACATTACAACACATCCCTCCAGAGAGCTGTTTTTCACCCTATTAATAAGTGATATTTGCATTCACACAATTCCTGAAATCTAGACAGTAACAAGTTCTCTTATGGGGATCAGTCACCCCTGGTAGGTGGATTTTCCCAGGATACTAATGGTGTGATCAAAATCCCTTTGCACTCCATTTCCTTAATCTCTGTCCAATTGTGCAGCGATGTTTTTAATAATTAGCACAGGATACTGAAAGACAGGGCTCCTGAATACTACCACACTCATAACTCCCTGTCTGTGCCATATCCAGTTCTTTCTTTAAGCCTGTTTTTCTCTACTGGAGAACAGGAGTAACAACTACCCTTTGCACCCAGCAACTTGTAACATGTGGTATGTGAAGTTCTGAGAAATTCTGGATGGAAGTAGCAGTGAAAACTCAAGTACCAGTGTTTGAAGCGGTATCTGTCACCAGCACTTACCAGCAACAGAGCCTCCAGGTGGCTCAGGTAGGTTTCCTCACTGGCTAGGATACCTGACAGGACCCATTTTCTCATCTCCAGGCCTTTCTCCAAGTCTGGCTCACTCTACAAAGAAGTTGTTGAGAAAAAAGAAAAAACAAAGAAGGAAAAAAAAAAGGGGGGGCAGGGGGAGACAAAGCAAAAAAACAAGAATGAGGATGGAGAGTAAAAGATATAGTTCAGCTGACCATAGCATGCTTGGTTTTTTTGGTTTAATTTCAGACTACAAAAAAAAAAAACAAAAAACCCTACCTGTGCTCAGTGCCCTGTTTCTAGAAACATGCAAACATAAAACATTAAAGAAATTTTTATTTACCAGCAACTGATGTCAACTAGATTATTTACAGGTGTTCACTTTAGTCATCCAACTTTGGTAGCCTCAATTAGGTGCTCTTGAGTTCTTCACAAAATTCAAAACACAGAACTTGAAAATTTGGAATTTATCCTCCTAAACAAATCTTACGGACTCTTAGTTATGTGCAATTCACTCCCTCCTCCCATGAGGGTTCTCTATGATCTTACTCCAAAGCCATGCTTCTCTATGCAGACAAGACCACTTCCCCTGCATCTACACAGATGCACATGAATATACAGCAGTTACTGCCTGACATTGCTGTTAAGATGGCTGTTCTTTCTCCCACTCTCTACTGTTCACTAAGTTATTTTTCAGTGCCAGCTAGCACAGTGCCTATTTTTAGTTAGAGGATGGAATAATCAGCATTGCTTGGAACGCACTTGCTGATTTTCTTATTGGGATTCCACGAAGGAGTTCTTAACCAAAATATCCGAAGAAAGAGAAAGGGGGGAAACAACAACAACAAAGTTCATGGGCAAATATACACATCAAGGGAAGAATAGCATCAAGTGTTAAGAGAAGCAGTAATCCCCTCTGTTGAATTTCAGTTATCCTTCCTCTCAAAACTGTTACCTGAAAAATGTTTAACCTGATAAAGTGAAATTAAGTATATCCATAAACTCTGAAAAAGATATGGCCAAACAATGAAGGTTATAAATAATGAGAAACATCCTCCTTTTACAGAATCTTATTTTCAGTTCTTTTTATTTCTGTCATTCACAGAAATATCTTTTTACAATTCTTGCAACCTTTATATGTTGTTAAAATGTCTCTAAGAATAGAGTCAGTAGTTGGATCTGGAAGGATAGATACTTTCAGGGCTTTGGGTAGGGTGTTTGGGGCTCCATCACACTCCTCTTAATACCCGGCAGAATCTTCAGCTATTGATTTCAGCAGCAGGAGGATCAGGAAACAGTGGTATGCTCCACTCTACTGCCTGAACATAAAGCCCTACAGCTGACAAAAAAAGCTCCATTCAGTTTAGGGTCCTATGCTTTGAACCCTGTAGATGTATACACGAGGTTCATTATGGAGAGAAGGTATTGTGGCTATAGGTAAGCTTACAGTAACTATCATATTCTGAGTGTGACTTTAAGCCTACGCACCACATGAAGAAAAAAACGGATCCTCACGCTCCCAGATATTTCTGGATTCAGTCTCATCAATAACTATCCTGATTTTTGAATGCTTTCATTAAATTTCACAAGCTATTTTCCAGTCTAAAAGACCTTGCAGCAACTACTTTATAAAAATTTTGTGAGGTGTCAAATACTACCATCACCTCTTAAATAAAAGTGGCAGACAGAAGCTGTTCTAAGGAAATGAGTAGAATTTACACGCACATCAGGTACTGCATGGAAAGAAGAGCTTGTCTTTGCATCCCACCCTTCAAGTGAGGTTCAGTAAGAACCACAGTGCCTTTTAAAATCTTGAAAGGGCATCTCAATGAAGCTAGGAATTTGTAATTCAGCAGTCGTGTTCAGAAGGTTTCAGAAAAACACCAGTGACAAACTTCATGGTGAAATGAATGCTCCAACAGGTTCTGTGCATCTACAGAGCACTCGTGTGACTGCCTGTTACAGCTCAAACAGAAATGTGCAACATTATGATTTCTGTATTAGTAATGCCTGGATGTCCACCCCACTGACCATTTTGTAAGGCATGGTACATATATGTCATCAAGACAGACAGCCCCAAGACGTTTAACAAATATTCCCTTCATCCAAAGAGGCATGGATGTAGCAGCCCTGATGCAAGAAAAACGCAATACCTCTTAGTTTCCAAAGATTTCTTACAGCACTTACAAAAGAAAAATGCAGCATCACAAAGAAGCATTGAGAAGAACTAGCAGTGCTCCAAAGTCCCCACTGTGGAGAATGAGGTAACTGGTCAATATTGACACAGCACTATAATTATCTTTAGCAGGTTCTCTTGGAGGTGAGGATTTAAAAACCAGCTGGGTATGTTTGTAACATCTGTAAAGAGCAGCACACAGTGACAAGTTATTTAAACGATTCAAACTTCCCCATCATGACAGCAGCACAACAGTTTTCCTCTTCAGAAATAAAAGCTTTAATTTGCAACCCAGTTCTTGCTGGGCACCATCAGCTGACAGGAGAAAGCATTTTCTGCCTGAATGTTAATTTCCTCTCTTTTAAAGAGATGTGCTTTCAGAGAGACAAACATCTCCCAGGACACACTAGAGGCTTACTTCCTGGCCATTACCACAAGGTCACTTTGCAAAGTCCACGGTATTGTCCTAATCCTTTTTAATAGGAGCATTTTCCAAGCTTGATGCTTGCAAAACTCTAGCCTCGGATGCAGCCAGACAGGGCAGGGCCTGGCTGCTTTAAGCTACAGTACAGCAGTTGCTGAAGAAACCCTCAGGGGTGTTTATCCGGCAATCACATAGCATATTACAAGGTTTCCAATGCAGTACCTCAAATTTTCATACAGATCCCTCATATGTGAAAAGATGATCTCCTGCTGTTCCTGCTGTGTCAGGGATCAATACAACACCACGGCGCTGCTGTCTGCATTGTGATGCCACGCTGAATTTCCTCCTGAGAGCCAGTGCCCTGACAAGAGTTTCCTGCTGAGGGAGGCCTTGTCTGACAAAGTCATCTGGGGCTGCACTGAGCAGCAGCTCTTGCTGCTTGATGAACATCTGGAAAACAGCCCCTGTGCTTCCTTCAGCCTCAGGGTGCTTTTTAAGTCACACTTGTTATGAAACGTACTCCAGGACTTGAGAAATCCACTGGGAGCTGGTGCCAACATCAGGAAGAGGAGGAGCAAGTTTATTATTTGGTGTGAAAACAATTGGGAACAGGCTTACCTGCTCACCCAAAACAAGAGAGAGCAATTAGCATGCAGAACTACTGTAAGACTGTTCTTCCACTCTCCCCTTACAGCACACCAAGATGTGATACACCCAGCACCCAAGGGCATTTTCTGCTTTGTCCATATCTGACAAAAAAGGGAAACAAAGAGCAACACTGTGACCACAACAGCCTCACTGACTGCTCTGTTTCTGCACTCCAGGCAGGAGGGCAGTTAAGAGGGAACATCCAGGGCATAAGTATCAAGCTTCCCACCGGTTCAGGGAGATCTGCCAAGGCTGAGGACTCCTTTCCCCTACCCTGCCAAGAAAGAAGCAGTCAGAAATTTGTGAGCTGCTTGTGGAAAGAGGAGGAGTTGGTACCACATTACCTTGGGGAAAAGAGACCTATTAACCACAGTGCAGATGGGGTGTTCCCAGCAGGATGTGGACGCTGGCTGTATTGGCAAGCTAACTACTCAGCAGGGAGTGCCGGGTGGTCAGCAGTCCATCCCATGCTTCCTACCCACCTTGGTCAGCCTGGTTTTTACCTGTACAAGTCTGACTAGTATTTCATGTTCTGACTCTGTTCCTACCTCTTCGATGCCAGAATCCATTTCTAGCCTTTCTGTATTGCCCTTCCAACTTTTGGCTACCTTTCTACCCATGAGTTTCAGAATAAGTCTATCTTACAAGACTATCACAGGGCAGCAGCGAGAGCATTCCTGTCCATCTGCCATGGGAACTGTGAGGACCCAACATCCAGCCAGTTCTGAACAAACAAGCAAGAAATCAGTGCTTTGCTCCCACTTCTCATGAACTACATTAAAAAAAACAAAACAAAACAAAAACACACACACACACACATACAAAAAGACGGTGGAAAGCAGTGTAAAGGAAGTTTCATGAGTATCTCACGCCTATACGGTTCTGGTGTTTTCATCTCAACTGAGTGGTGCTTCGTCCTATTCCAAAGACTTAAAAACCAAAAGACTGAGTCACAGTCATAAGTGCAATCTTGTGCCCTCAACCAAGGCCAGTCAGAGTGGTTAGAAGCACTGAAGATAGAAGAGAGCATGCATACACTGGCCCTGAGCCATGGCTGTTTTGATTGTGTTTACAGCTTGTCAGCTTAAGCACTTTAGTTTACTAACCAGGTTGGCAATGCATGTTGTATTCAATTACTGCAAGCCTGAGATTCACCAGCTCCAAGGATTAGACAGATTCAGCTCTTCCCGTCTCTGTTTAAAGAACTTGGGGCTTTCTGGTTGTTTAACAGCAATAATTGTTTTCTTGCAAATGTTAGAAGAACGCAGATTAAGAATCTAGAAACCACAACACGTAAGATTTTGCAAAGTGGTTACTGCCAGCACAGCTCTGTAAAGAGAATCAGTGATTCAAAGTGGGCGTATAAAAGGCACTTTAACTCTCAGACCTTCTTTTGGTACAGTGTGTTCATATGCTGTGCAATAAATATGTTCAAAGGAGAAGTTTCCTGTAAGGACAGCTCAGAATCTCATAGAGAAGCTGACAGCCTGTGAAATTAAAAAACTATTCATTTCAATTTTTAAAGTGTAAATATCTTTGAAAGCTTCTGCTAAACAGGCTGAAGGTGTTTCATTGTCTTGGTGATATTAAACAGGGCAAATTCTGTCATCAAGCCAATCATGTTCCATGCAGGGAAGGGAAGGAGCAGGGACAAGAGGCAACATTATTTATAATATCAGTACTGGTGTGCCAGGTCTCCTCAGGGCGGGATGTACATCCAGGCAGAGACCTTAAGGAGCAAAGATTTGGAGAAGGAAAAGTTGCATCTGCTGGGGGTGGTGAGGGGAAAGTGACAGTAAAACAAAACAAACCCAAATACTGAGAAGACAAAGGAGGATTTGGAAA